ATTTACATTAAAAAGATGACATTTACAGGAATCCAAGAGCCAAGAACACAAGTACCTTTAAGACGGTGAACGTGTTTCCGTAGAGCTCCTCAGTGAGCATGAGTCTCTGAGAGAGGATGGCTTTATCATTATAAGCGTATTCCACAACTGAAGACGCCTCCGAGTGTCTGAGCATCTGCCTGACTTTCCCTTTAAAAGCCAACATCACTTCACCTACCTGCTCTTTACTCCTACATGACAAAACAAGCAAACAATTCCTGTTAAGACTGATCCTAATGTCGGTGCCAGTGGTGTAGTGGTTAGTGTGTCGACAGATGCACTCCGGTGCTCATGGTGACTCGAGTTTGATTCCTGTATCGCGGTCCTATGCCGATCCTTTACCTCCCCTCTCTTTCTTCCCCATGTTTTTCTGTCAATGCTCTCTACTTTCCAATACAATATTAAAGGTGAAAACTCCTAAAAAATAATTATAAAAAAAGACTGATCCTAAAAACTGTAAGCTCATCATTTAGAATGAAACCGATTCACCTTTTTTAATGATCCTTTGTGTAAGACTTTGTGTGAATTATTAAAGTAACTAAAAAACTGCAAAAAGTGAAGTAATGAGAGGTAATTCACTGTAATCAGTGAAGTGAGAAATGTTGGTGAGAAGTGAGAAGTCATTATTCTCCTCACAGAAACTTATTAGAATTAACATATTTCTTTTAGCAGAGCATTAGTAACTTATAAAACTAAAAACATGCTGAGCCACAGCTCTATTATGAAAATATTAAGCATCCCTGTACGGTAGGAAATAAAATGAGAAAATAAATAATAATATTTGAGGAACAAAACACAATGAACTCAAAGACCTTTGACCACAGATATGCTTATGATAATAATGTCATGTTAAAATGAATATCACAATAATGACAGACAATATTAATAACAAAGGCACAAATCCAAACATACCTCTCGCTCAGTTTGCACTATGAATATGATTTAACTGTAGCACAATTTTATTATTTAAAATGGTTTGCTTTAGTACTTTTTTCCTCAAACAGGAAGTTCAACCCATAAATTAATCATGTTACAAGCGTAACAATCAAACACATTTCCCTACATATCAAAACAAAGAATATGATTTATTTTATACTTTTATAGGAAACTACATTAAAAATAGGCCTGCGCAATATATTAAAATATTATCGTTATCACGATAACGGCAAGAGAAAAAAATAACAACAGCAAAAAAAAAAAAAAAAAAAAACAGAATTTTCACAGAGGTTTGTCATTAATGGTGATTTAAAGTCTAAACGTTTGCACCTTGATATGTTTTTTTTACATTAAATTAGCTCAGAAAAATATCTATTCCCAATAAAATTAAACAGTGTTCTGGAAATTATACAACTCAAGAAATAAAACGTTATCGCAACACTTAACATTGAATATTTTCCCATTATTGCGCAGCCCTAATGAAAAATAACTTTTTAAGAAGGGTCATGAAAAGTGGTAGTGACTTACCCATACATTAGGAACTTCTTTACAATGTTTCTGGCATATTTTGATTTACTCAACTCCACAATGTGTTCTAAAAAGCAAAACATTGGTATAAAGGAGGGCAGTGAAAAACAATAAGTTGATACAAACAAATGCAGTAACAGAGGACGGATGCAAAAACCAACCTTTGAGTTCATCAAACACCTCCTTTCTCTGCTTATCACTGCCAAATTGAATAAAACACTGAAGCACCCGCGTGGAATCATGCGCAAATGCAATCTAGCAAAGAAAAGACAAATTTTACATCACACTATTTATATATCTTTTAAACAGTGAATATATACCACAAGAGTTTACTACTTACCGTTTTAATTTTGCCTTTTACAAGATCCTGCAGCTCTTTCATCAGTTTGGTCCTTTTTTGCTTATCACAGTCTTTCCTGCATTTCCAAATAGATGAGACTTGAATGTTATGATAGACAGATACGAGTCTTTGTTTAGCACTTACACCTTTTTTGTTCTTTAATATTTATTTAAACTAAGCAGCTTAGTTTTACACTTTCTATTTCACATTATTACACTACTCCCTGAAATGCTTAATTCTGGCGAATTACAACGTCAAAGTAAATATTCTCTAATAATAACTGATTAACCAAATAACACAGGCTCATCCATGTACTGCAAACTATATTGACTGTTGTGTTTGTTTGTGTTATTGACAAGCTTTTATTAAGAACCATTTTTCTTTCTCCAAGCTTTGTTTTTAAAAAGCTAGTTAGCAGATACAGCTAGGATCAATTTTGTGGCAAGAAGCTGCGTACTTTATACAGCGTGATAAATCCCATCAGTATTATACATCTGCTGAAAAGCCTGACTTTATACTGCAAACCAACTGACTGGATATTATTCATTACTTAAAATAATATTTAAACCAGTTTATTATGCATTTGCACACTGATATTATTGTTGAACAAATATATGAAAGGCATCTCTAGTAACAAAACAATTAGTACAGAAATCATCATGCTGAAATAATTCATATAAATTATGCCAGCAACACAACTGGCTTAATTATATTTATACTGTGGTTATAATACATGTATTATCTCCTGTTAAACACATACAGCAAAAAAAAAAACTTTTCTAACTGACACAATTTGAAACACAAGCCTATGTTTGGCTGTATTTTAAAAAGACATTTAAAAAAACATTTATTTGCATTTAAAAAATGTATTAACTTATTATCATATAAAAAACTTTATTTTCAAATCTAATTTCTAATTGGCTTTTAATTACAGCAATAGAGTTAATAATTTTTTTTTTAAACCAGGTAATCTTATCAAATCAATTTATGTTTATCTGTGTTATCATAACAAGTGGCAAAATATTCAAGTTTTAAACAGCGGTTCTGATTAAAAAAAACTATTTGGTCGAAAATGCTAAAAGACAACACCAAGAGACACAAACCTCTACAAAAGTAAAATGGCCATAAGAAAAGAAGCATCACTACATAAAATGTCCCACAAACACTCACCGTCTTACCATCTCCCACACTTGCTTTGCTCTGCTTACGATCTGGTAGCTCTCTTTTCTATCAGTCTGCTGACGATTCAGCTTCAGTTCTTTCTTTTTTTGTTTAAACTCATCCCATTTAGGTTTTTTGCGCTCATCACCTGTCAAAGAAACAACAACAAAGACTGAACAACCTGAAAAACAACCATTATTAAGAATCACACATATTCCCGAATAAGACAATATGGAGATATCAGTACCTTCCTCTTGTTTGATTCTGTCTCCAGGAAATTTTCTCTTCTTGGCAAATTTTCCATCTGTCGGCTTTCTGTTGAACTTCTGTGGTCCTCCTTCTCCACCTGACTTTCTAAAACCTTTGCCTTTGTCATTGTTGTGAGGTTTGAATGGCCGTTTGCCTTGTGGTTTTCCTCCAGGTTTACCTTTTCAAGGTAAGCACATATATTAATGCAATGTAACCATATGGCAACGCTTTTGTCAATTGGTCAAAGACAAGACATCTTGTTTTGGTTTCTACATAATTTACAAAAGTTATTATTTGCATAGTAAGCATTTAAAACAGAGTGTCTGCTTAAAAATTTCAAGCAAAACAAACATACCACATATTAATTCTAAGGTATACTAATGACTATGCAAACATACTATTATGTATAACATACTATTATATAAAATGATTTCAAATAAATGATCTAATGAGTATTTCCAGAGTGCATTGTGATCTTAAAGAAAAAAAATGGAATTTCCTCATCATTTACCAACATTCAAATGGTTGTTAACGTTTATGTATTTTTCTTTCTTGTTGAATATTGGGGAAAAACTATGAAAGTCAAACGCTGTTTTTTTCAGTATTCTTCAAAAATATCTTCCTTTGTTTTTAACAGAACAAACAAGCTCAAATACGTTGAAACAAATGGAGGATGACTAAGTAAATAGTGAAAATGTAATTCTTGAATACAGTAAATATGCCCAAAGATTTTTGCATTTTAATCTAGAGCTACACTTAATGACAACATCGTGGGTGGCTGCGGTAAATCATGGTAAAATAGGTATTGAAGTAAGTATTTTAACTCAAGAAAAAAAAAATACAAATATATAAGAAACAAAACCTATATTATACATTTTTTGTTGATACTTAAACACTGTAATTTAATTTTCTGTTTACAATCACACTACAGACTTACAGTGAAGTAAAAACTTTGGAGATCTTACTACAAAATATGACCCAAGACTTTAAAATGTGTTTACCTTTGGATTTGAATGAAGGTTTCTTTCCGTCTCTTGGAGTGAATGATTTCTTTCTTGGTTTACCCTCCATAATGGACTGTAAATCGTTGATTAATTGTTAGATTTTTAATAAATTACAAAAGCAAAAGATGTTACGTTATGCCTTCACGCAACCGTAGAGATGAAACTATATAATTTACTATATTTGCTCATACTAAAGTCTAAAAATATTGACATGCAAGTAGCCTAATACGTGTTACACATACGCTTGCAAGTTAGAACATTTCTCGTCTTAAACTAGAGTAAATCTTGTTGTTTTTCCCAAATACGATGGAACACGTTTCAATACTCACCCATGTGTGCAGACAAACAACTTTACGGCATCTGAAAAATGTCGTAGTTAATGTTGGCCGTTTGCGACAGTGTGCAACAGTGTTGGAATCCTAAACTAAAAGTCCCTCAAAAGACGTTTAATAATCTATTTTAATATTCGCAAGAAAGAGTTTGCATCTTTAAGTTATCATAATTAATTTAATACGTTTTCGTTACGGTAAAATGAGAAACAGTTAAATATTTTCATCAAAGCATTCATTTTTTCAATTTTCCATTTATTAAAAATGAGGTTCATGAAAAGCCTTTGAAACACAACAGGCTGGTGACATCTGCTGGACAAAATAATAAAATAAATACATTTATAATAAGAATAAAATTGTGTAAATGCAACGAAAATCTCCCCTTATAAAAGCGTGACATGTAACGTCAAGTCAATGCACAAATGACAGAGATACTTTACAGCTGGCCAGGCGTGTTTTATGTAACGTTAACAATTTCTTTTATTATCTCTAATGTCATTTCAGAGACAGGAAACATTTTAACCATCTACCAGCGTAGAGTTCATTTTATTACCGTTGATGGGAAGTGCTGCAGCGTTATTTACTGACGGCTGCTGCAACGCGCTTTGTCCCTCTGTGCTCGCCGTGAGCAGCTGATTTGCAGGTGAGAGGTCTAGCCACTGCAGCAGACAAGATGGATGTCAACCAGGCAAAACAAGAGCATCTTCTGGCATTAAAAGGTATAGCAAGTGTTTACCTTTCTGACTCTTGAACCGAAAGTGCGGCGGAATGTCTGAACGTTGCTGTTTGTTTACGCTCATTCATAAACATCGCTGACATGCCCGCTGTAGCGGTGAACTGACTATTCCTGCTAGCTGCAAGCCGCTAACCGTGTCTGATAAATACAGAATGAACATTATATTCAGCTCTCTAATAACTGGGCAGATGTTTAACTGTGTGTTTAGTCTTTTTAGAGTTTAAAAACCAGACATTTATATATATGCGTCTAATAGTTTCCTACTACGTTGATATGCTTTCGTAAACTAATGACAGATAATGTTTTGGCATCAAACCTACAGATTTATCTTTCAGTGGGTCTAGATTTTATTCAAATAATAGCAAAATTATTGCTTACTGGTGTTATTGTAACAGTTATGCAGTTTTATTCTGTTTTATATCACTTGCAAAATAATAATTCTTCGTATAATTGTCAGACTGTTGAAATAAATGAAGAATATTAAATAATTTTCTTCTTCTCTTTGTGTATTTAGTTATGTAATATCTCTTTATTGCATTAAATCTAGATAATGTTCTATAGTCTGTGCACATCATGTGTTAACTGTACATCATCATGTGTGTTCTATGCTGAAAGGTGATGCTCTCTTATGTTTCTCCCTCTAGTTATGCGGCTGACCAAACCTACACTTTTTACAAATATGCCAGTAACCTGTGAGGACAGAGATCTTCCAGGTACAATCCAAATACATTTAGATCAACTGTGAGTTTGGAGTATTTGCCAGGAAGCATTTAAAGAATGTGCACATTTTGTAAAAGATAGCGATGAACTGATAAAAAAAATAATTTTAAGTCTGCGTAAAATAAAAATGTACATTATATGATTTGAAAGCTCACATTCTTATTCTTAAAGTAAATAAATATACATGCCAAAAGGGTCATAAATCTAATTACTGTACTTTGATTATTAGATAAATCTGCATCATCACTGACAACAAATATAGCTAAAATAGGCCCAGGGTATATTTGTTTTTCCACCACTTCTAATATTAATTCAAAAACTGAAATCCAATTATTAACAATTTTAGAACAACTCTAAAACATATGACCAAGCGGTGCCTGGGTTTGATTGCATCTATCACACAGTGGGTCTACAGCAGGGAACATCATAATTTAGTGTCTGCGCAGAATCTTAAATTGTATTTGACCATGCCTGATAAACGCAGAACTAGAATGAACTTGTTCTTGTCCTTCCTCCTATTGTCAATTTTCAATTTCTGCTCAGAGATCCTCTTCCCATGCCCTTTTGAGATGCTCTAATGAAACATCGCATTCTAACTTAAATAATTTATTATATGTAATTGAAATTCCTCCTTTTATAAATGGGTTCTGTAGAAACAAAGTTTCTACTAGGGAAGTTGGTAGTTCATAGGAAATTATATAAAATTATTTTGGACAAAACTGCGAGCTTGTAAATATATGTATAAAAAAAGGGTACTTGGTAGATCAAATGTCTGCCGTAATTGTTGAAACGTTGAAAAACAATTATCAATGAAAAGATCGTTAAAGGAGTGTATCCTGAAATAAAGAGTCAGTTTGAGAAGGGGTAAATGAATGGTTCTCAGTCAGTGGGCTTAAGACAGAACTTGTTTGCCACTTAAAATGTTTTCTAACCTATTTCCAATTTTTAAATGAATTAGAAACCACTGGATTGTTTAATCGAGATGAACGGAGAGCAGATAAAGCTGAGTAGAGTAGAGCTGGCCTAGAGGAAAGGGAACATGACTTCTTTTCCATGTCACCCCAATCTGTTAATCCCTCTTTTATCCCAAAAGAAAGTGCTCTTATATTAAATTCCCAGTAATATGGCTGTTTTTTTTTAAATATGATTTATGGTTTTATCATTTTATTGAGCTAACAGCAAAAAGTTTACTTGTATAATAACTCAAAAATACTTACTGCATTTTTTTGTATACATGTTCGGAATAAACAAATAGTTTAACCAAATTAATTTGCAAAGTAACACTCCACCTATCGACGTCTTATTAGTGAACATTAGTTAATGCAATAAAATCAACATTTAGAAATGACCATATTATAGTTATAAGTTTTAAGTTATTAAAAAATACAACTGAATTTAATTAGACATTAACTAAACAATTATGATTATTGAATATAATGCGTTATTAGACATTACCTGAGAAATTAACATCACCTAATATTAATAGTTTCCCTGTACTGGGTTGCAGCTGGAAGGGTATCCGCTGTGTAAAACATATGCTGGATAAGTTGGAGGTTCATTCTGCTGTGGCGACCCCTGATGAACAAAGGGACTAAGCCGAAGGAAATTTAATGAATAATATTAATGAATACTTTCGTGGTTGTCATTACATTGACTTTAGTAAAATGAACTGATGTTAACAAATGGAGTCTCTTCCTATATAGAGTTAATGAACAAAGGGCAAAAAACTCATTGAGTATGTTTACATGAACACAAATAATCCAATTTTAATGCAATTAAGACAATACTCTGGTTAAGAGTCAACCATGTAAACAGTGATTTTTAATTAATTTAATCATTCATTCATTCATTCATTTTCTTGTCGGCTTAGTCCCTTTATTAATCTGTGGTCGCCACAGCGGAATGAACCGCCAACTTATCCAGCAAGTTTTTACGCAGCGGATGCCCTTCCAGCCGCAACCCATCTCTGGGAAACGTCCACACACACATTCACACACACACTCATACACTACGGACAATTTAGCCTAGCCAATTCATCTGTACCGCATGTCTTTGGACTGTGGGGGAAACCGGAGCACCCGGAGTAAACCCACGCGAAGGCAGGGAGAACATGCAAACTCCACACAGAAACGCCAACTGAGCTGAGGTTCGAATCAGCGACCTTCTTGCTGTGAGGCGACAGCACTACCTACTGCGCCACTGCCTTGCCTAATTTAATCATATTAACGTCATAATCGAACTAAACAGAAATGGAATTAAGACATGCGGAGTATGCCGATTTTATTCACATTATTGAAGTGTAGTACAGACATCTAAACCCCTTAAACTATAACCATCGTGTTGAATTTTCGCTACATTTTGCGACAGGATAGACTCTACACACAAGGGTGTTTGACACTATTTTCTGCACCTACTGAGTCGGTTAAGGACCACAGACACCTGTATTGTGAGGTTTTTTCTTCCATACAGCGTTTGGTATCAAATCTCGTTTAAACGACACTCTTCCAGCAGTTTAAACTCTCTTCCAATGTCTCTTTTGTCACAGGGGGCATGCATAAAATGTTTCCGAATTAAAGTGAAAGTGCCAAACTGCAGTTAAGGTTGACGAATTAAAAATAAAACACCCGATATTACTGAAACTCCAGAGGAAATGTGAATAGCCTGGAGACTCACTGACGTTAATTGAATTATGTGCTTTAGTATGTAAACCGGGATCATGAAAGAAGCATTCAAAAAGCAACTCATGTAAACACCTTAATCTTATTATTGTCTTATTCAGATTGAGCAAATAATTCGATCACTGATGTCCATGTAAATGTAGTCAGTGTTAGCCACATAAATATGAGAATTTTCAGTGACGTAGGATGGATTAACATGTATATATAATAATGTTTGAAATAATCACATTAAGTATTTAAGCACAAATACATCAATCAGAACATTCTTAAAAAGCACACTAAAAGTTTACATAATAAATATGTATTCAATGCTGTTTGAAATGTCCACTATTTCAATATTGTCTGTTTTTATTATTACAACTTATTTAATTATTGAATATTATCATATGTGTACAGTGTACCTAAGTCCGTCATGACTATTAGTGGGTTTTTAACAAGTGATAACTTGTAATTACAGCAAATGTCACAGCAACAAATGAGAGATTTTAGGCTTGAGGAGTAAGATTTTACATTTAGTCAATTTGCAGAGGCTTTTGTCCAAAGTGACATACAATTGAGGAGGCATTCAGTGATTCAACAAGAAGAGGCAATACACTCAATAAGTGGCAATTATTCAAAGAAACTATTAGTTCTTTGAAAATCAAGTGCTAGAGTAAGTAGCTTTTTGCATAAAGAGAAGTGTTTCTATGCGTGGTTTCTCAAGCCCACTCACTTGTGTGAGGCACACTTCATAAATGCACTTTGTCATTTTTATTATCTAGTGTTCAAACCAAAAACATGTTACAAAACAAAATTAGAAATGAAAATCCTTTTTGTGATGGCATCTGCTCTAGTATTGTGCAGCAATATTTGTGGTTGGAATGCAGCACATTCCTGAGTCTAGTTTTAAGCTTCTCTGAAAGCTTTAACAGTGGATCTTTGAGACCCCTGCTATAATTTTGCCCCTTAATACTGCCCCATGATCAGCCGTCTGCAATATTTGTTTTCCTTCTGCAGGTAGCCAATGGCTTTGAAATGCTATATCTGAACCGCGTGACACTATGATAGTTCTGGGTAGCAGCACTTCTATATATAAAAGGGTCTAAGACATGTCCCCATATTAATTTTGTCGGAAACATGAAGTGCATTGAATACATTAGAAACCACACCACTTTGATTTATGCCTTTTTAATATTTATAAATATCATTCAGAAAGCTGGCCTAAATATAAAATTTGTTTATTATTATTATTTAAATAATTTTTACTTGCTGTATAGAACTCGTTATTCATATGATTTACAATTGTGACTTTCACGTGTCGTCTTGCCTAAAAATAAATGAGACGCAAATAACAAGATGGTTTGATTTAGATGTCTAATGGGGGTCTGCATGTAAGAGCCGTCTGTCAGTCCAGAGGTTTACAGCTCAGCATATCACATGTCTACAGGTGATTTGTTTTTACGACTCATGAAAGATGATCCATCCACTGTAAAGGGGGCAGAAACACTAATCCTTGGGGAGATGCTCACACTGCCACAGAACTTTGGGTAATGTATGCTTTTATTCAAACACGATTAAATGCCAAAAAGGGTTTTGTTTAATTTATTTTTACATCTAGTAAGTTGCGTTCTTGCATGGTTTTTATTTAAAATGGTAATCGGTTCTACAATGATACTTTTTGTAGTTGGAACCGTTAAACATGTTATATTAAAGACTACAATCAAACAGGCAGATCATTTGACTAATACTGTAGTAAAAATAATTGTTAGCATTTCCCACCCTAGTGCAAAGATGATTTGGCAGTTTTACAAAAATGTTGGAATAAACATTCTGGATGTCCAGAATATGTTTTGTTCTTGCTATGAATCGCAATGTTTGCTTGTTTTCCAGCATTCTTTAGAAAATATTCTTCTGTTTTACATTTTTCTTTATTTATTGCTAAAAAATTGTAACAGTTGAGTAAATCAAACTTTGCTAACTTTGATGTTGTCTTGAGAAATCCTGATCTGTCAGTATAGGTGACCATAGGTCGAGGTGGACACCCATGACATGTGGAGTCCCACAAGACTCTATTATGGCACCTCTCCCGTTCAACCTTTATATGCTCCCTCTGAGCCAAATAATGAGAAAGAACCAAATTTCCTACCACATCTATGCTGATGACACTCAGTTCTACTTAGCCTTACTGCCTAATGACTACAGCACTGTACCATTGCAATGATTAATCTAACAGTTGGATGTGCCAAAACTTTCTTCAGTTAAACAAAGAGAAAACTGAACTCATTGCATTTGGGAACAGAGATGAGGTTCTCAAGGCGAATGCGTACCTTGGCTCTAAAGGTCAAACAACAAAAACTAAGGTCAAGAATCTTGGTGTGACTCTAGAGTCAGATCTGAGTTTCAATAGCCATGTCTAAGCAGTTAGTAAATCAGCATACTATCATCTCAAAAACATTTCAAAATTTAGATGCTTTGCTTCCACTTTCCAGTGAGGACTTCATGTTGTTCATGCTTTTATCAGCAGCAGGGTAGATTACTGTTACTGCCTCCTCACTGGCCTTCCCCCAAAAACAGTCAGACAGTTGCAGCTCATCCAGAACACTGCAGCCAGGATTCTGACCAGAACCAGGAAATCAGAGCACATCACACCTTTCCTCAGGTCTTTACACTGCCTCCCGGTCACATTCAGAATAGACTTTAAAGTATTATTACTGACCTATAAATCGCTAAATGGCCAAGGACCTCAATACATTACAGATCTGCTGACTGAATACAAATCAAATAGATCACTCAGATCTTTAGGATCATATAAACTAGAAATTCGAAAACTTCAGTCAAAGCAGGGTGAATTGTTTATCAGCTACTACGCCCCTCAGTGCTGGAATCAGCTTCCAGAAATGATCAGATGTGCTCCAACATTGGGCACATTTAAACCAAGAGTGAAAACACATCTGTTTTGCTGTGCTTTTACTGAATGAGCACTGTGCTGCGTCCGACAAATCATACTATTGTGTCTTTCTTTTCTTTTCCATTCTTTTACACCCTGTTTTAACACATTTTCATTTGTTTTGATCTGTTTTTAATAATTTTTATTATTTGTTGTTTATTTTCTTATACTTGTCTTTTTTATTCTTGTTTATGTAAAGCACTTTGGATTGCCACTGTGTACGAAATGTGCTATATAAATAAACTTGCCTTGAATATGAATGGATTAAACTGTGGATTTATGGATAGATGGATTAAACCGTATACACATAGATGAATGGATCGATGGATCAATAGACAAGTTGATTGATTGATAATTTAAAACAGTGGACTGATACACGGATGGGTTTTTGGATGTGTGGATAGATGAATGAAACCGTGGAGTAATGGATGAATGGAACCGTAAATTGATAGGCAGATGGATGGATGAAACAGGAGTAATGGATAGGTGGGTGGTTGGATGGATGGATGAAAGAAACAGTGGATGGATAAAACAATGAATTGATAGACAGATGGATGGATAAAGTGATGTACTGAAAGGGATGGATTGATGGGTGAAACAATGGACTGATGGATGGTGGATGGATGAAACAGTGAGTTGATAGACAGATTATTGGATGGAGGGATGGATCAATGATGGGTGGATGGATGGAAGATTGAGTTGATATATGAGTGGATGGATAAAGCAGTGGACTGAGATGGATGGATGGAACGGTGGACTGGTTGACAGATGGATGGCTGAATAAATAGATGGAGGTAAAGATGAAAAGATTGAATGATGAAATGGTGAACTGATAGATGGATGAATGGATGGATGAATGGTTGAATAAATGGATGGATGGATGGATGAATAGATGAATAGTTATCTAGATGGCTGGACAGATGAAATGATGGATGGATGAATAGATGTTGGAAAAAACACTGGATTTATAGACGTGTTGACGGATGGACAAGTGAGTTGATGGATGAATGGATGAAACAGTGGAGAGATGTATGGACTGATGGATGGGTGGATAAAGCAGTGGACTGAGATGTATGGATGGATGGATGGATGGAACAGTGGATTGGTCGACGGATGGCTGGCTGAATAGATAGGTGGATAGATAGTTATGTAGGTGGATGGACAGATGAAATGGTGGATGGATGGATAGATGGATGGATAAAATACTGGACCTATAGACGTGTGGATGGATGAATCAGTGGACTGATGTACAGGCGGATGAATGGATGGGTGAGTTGATAGAAGAATAGATGGAATGAAGCAGTGGACTGAGATGGGTGGATGGATCGAACAGTGGTCTGGTCGACAGATGGATAGCTAAATAAATAGATGTAGGTAAAGATGAAGAGGTCGACTGATAAAACAGTGAACCGATGGTTGAATAAATGGATCTATGAATAGATGGATAGATAGTTATGTAGATGGATGGAAAGATAAAATGATGGATGAATGGATAAAACAGTGGTCTTATGGACAGATGGATTGATGGATGGATGACTGGATAGCTGAATAAATAGAAGGATGGATGGATAAATGGGAAAATTAAACATTGGACTGAGACGGATGGATGATGAATTGATGGATGGATGGATGAAACTGGTTGAATGAACAGTGGAAACGATGGATTGATGGATGGATTGATGGATGGATAAGCAGTAGTTGAGGGATGGATTAATAGATGTTAATGAATTAAATTAAATTGTATTGTATGTTACTGCACCTAAATTTGTTGTTATTATTGAGCCTTTTAATGAAAATATCACATATTTGTGATTTATATATAGATTTAAAATTTGTATTAGCAAATAAACAACTTATAGTTTATAAATGCTTTAGAAGTAAATAAATAGTTTTGCTGGCTTCACACCAAATGTGAAGAGAAAACACATATCGCGTCACTCACTCTGTTACTCGGGGGATGTTTTTACAAATGCTATCGACATAAAGACTGCTCAGTGGCATTACTAGGGAAAAGTACAACACTCAGTATGGCCGCCACAGTGAAGTAAGTTCCACCTTCAGGTCGAAATAGCCAATTGTCAGTAGTATTTATAGCAATGCATTTTGGTGGGAGGTGAGGTCTGTACAGATATGCATGTTTTTTACAGCAAGCTCTGCCATTTGGCTACTATTGCATACCTTGTTTATAAGGACAGGAGAAAAAACATGATGCACATCCCATCACATATCCTGTCCTTCCAGTGCTGTCCTCTAGCATGTGCTCAGGTTTTTTCTCTGGTATTCTAATGTTTATAACAGCGTCCTCCAGTTACTCCTGAAACAGCCGTAAAGGAGATTGGTGCTGTGCCAATTTTAGTTGTTAAATTAAGTGTTTAAATGTAATTCGAGCTTAATCAACAACATTAATGGGATGGGTCACTTCTGTTGTTGTTCCTGATTTAGAATATGTAACCTAATTGTAGGATCAGTGGGAAGTTTTGGGGATTTCTGGATTCTTCCATTCATTTAGATGGGGCTTTAGTCTAGGACAGGGGTTCTCAGCCTTTTTCACTTTTTCAGCCTAAACTGACTGTCTAGAGAAAATGCTTATTTTGAAGCTTTATTTATTAGCAAAACATTTCCTTTCCATTCTATTATTCTTTTGTTTTTCTACATCATTTTATAAACTAACTAACTAACTAACTATATATATATAAAATAATATAAATTCTAATATTTAAAAAAATGTATGCACAGACAGGTTCGAAGGTCCTGAATTCTTTCAGTTTTTTTTTTTTTTTTTTTTACAACTGCAGAGTATTTGGGCATTTTCTTCAATAAATAAACCTGACAGGACAACAGGAGATGGCAAAAAAAAACTGCTGCTGCTTTGAATTAGACTGACTACTATTTATCTATTGATCCACTATTCATATCTATTAAAAATAAATGTAAAACATCATAAAAACGTGCAAAACACATCGATCCGATTTTGTTTGACAGCTGTTCACTGAAACACCACCGAATCTCGCTGGATCCTACTGCACAGGCGTGCGTCCGTTATAAAACACGTTACGTTTATTTGGACAACTATACGCATATTTTAAAGTGTTCACACAAAGAGAGCATGCATAGTTTGTAAATCAACGGACTTGTGGGACGGAGGCACCTGTGAGCGATTATTATAACTGTAATCATCGTTACCTTTCAATTTGCGTGACGGTTTAATTTATACAACTGAGGACGTAGGCCTAATTGACGTGCAGTGGTTGGAAATTTAAGCCACAGTCTGCAGTTAACACAGAGTCCGAATAAGCTTATTCAGTCACAGAAAGTGAGAAATGCCATTAGCTACTTTGATAATTTTAATATGATATATCTAATAATGAAATCAAATTACTATAGTATAATATTTAAGTTAATTTTAAGTTTTTATTTTAAACTTTGCAGCCCACCTGCAGGATCACGGAGGCCCACTAGTGAGGTCAACCACCGGTTGAGAATCCCTGGTCTAGGATGAGCTGCCTGGGGGGTTTGCAAATATGGCCATCGAATAAACATATTGGCCAAGATTATGCATTATTTGCCTCTGACGAATATTGGCCTCTGTTCACTTGTTTGCATTGACTTTGTATGCAATCTACTGTTTCGAAGCAGAACATGTACATTTGCATTTGGTGTGAACCCAGCATTAGTTCATGGTCACTAATGCCAATTCAGCCTCTCTTTTGAAGTGTTATCGAAAATTGAAAAATAAGACACATCAAAATGTAAAACTGTGCATAGACATACACCAACGTTTGAAATTAGGGTTGCAGAATGTTTTTTTTAGTAGCAATAAGTAAATCGTAAAAGGTAAATTGAGTATTGGATTGAGGTTAACAATAAGTGTTTTGTCAGGTCAGGTCAGGTCCGCTCTGTGTCCTATTAGTGGAAAGTGCCACATGTCCATCTGAATCCAAAAGCCTCCAGTCATTTCAAAAATGCATTCTCACTATTTCCTGTGCAGAAATATTTTCCTTGGCGAGACCTTCTCCAGTTACATCAGTGTGCACAACGACAGCAGTCAAGTGGTCAAAGACATCCTGGTGAAGGTAATGGCTCGTCACTACTGACTGAATATCGCATGTGTTTCAGTTTCACTGCTGTCCTGTGATTCTCTGTCCTCACAGGCGGACCTGCAGACGAGCTCTCAGAGGTTAAATTTGTCGGCGTCAAACTCCGCCGTTTCAGAGCTCAAGCCCGAGTGCTGCATTGATGATGTCATCCATCATGAAGTCAAGGAGATTGGGACACATATGTACGTGTCTTTTTCAGTTTTTAGTGGTTTACATTTTAATATAAGAAAGGTTGTGTCAGCAGTATTCACATGTAATGCAAATCAAAAAAATTTAAATCCCTTACTTGTCAAAGACAAAAAAAGAAATATTAAAAACAGATGTTTTATTACTTGAAATTAAATAAACAAAACCAAAGGAAAATAAAAGTTAAATAATTTTATTTCAACAGTTCGCAAAGGAAAGAATTCTGTTTTTAATTTAACTTTAATTACTAAAACTAAAACATAAAAATGTATAAAAAATTGCTAAATACACAATAAAATTACAAAAATTGCCGAAGATATTAATAAAAACTAATACTTTCATTTTGTGTCTGTGATACTTAATTAACTTTATCTTTAAAATCTAATATAAGGGATTTAACAACCTACATTACACATGACGTCATATGGGTTCAACCGCGCATACCGGTTGCAAAAAAAAAAAGACCGGTTGCAATAGCAAACATGTTTTGTTGTTTGGTTGGATGCCAAATTCGATAGTCCAAAAATAGAAAACCTAAATTTTACCGTACACCACACTGTTTTTAATGCCAACCGCAGACGTCTTTGTCTAACAGCCATCATAAGAGCTGAATGGAGTGAGGACCTAATTAAAAATGCTGGACTCTGCAGTTCTTATTTTATATCAGGCAAGTTCGCGCTATGCTGAATCACACACATTACTCGTTTTCAGTTGCAGCAATGATTTCAGCAAAAACAGTTAAATATGGTAAACTGCAGACACTGAGGGCCCTATCATGAACCCGGCGCAGTGTGGCGCAAGACGCGGCGCAATAGTCTTTTGGTAGTTTTAGCTTGACGCAAGAGTCGTTTTGAGGCGTTGCGCTACGCTGTTTAAATAGCAAATGCATTAGCGATCATTTTTGCGCCTATAGACGTTCTGGTCTAAAAAGGAAGGCGTTCTGTGGCGGACCGCTGGCGCGTTGCAATTTTGAGAAACTATAATAGATTTTTCATTAGACCAAAACTAACCCGGTCTAAACTCCGACGCAGAGTTGCGCCTCGCTTACGCACTGCTTAATACGCACAAGAGAGCAATAGGCAAATATCTTTACATATGAAAACATTTAAATATTAAGGATATATATAGGATATAATCAAAATATATATAGGATATAAATATAAATAATTAAAGTATTACAAAACATATTATTTTCTAGCCTACATAAATATGAAAAATCACTGCTTTTATGTCTTCTTCATCTCGGGAGGCTTTTTCAGTTCATTCATAACAATTTGCTTTTGTATAATATTATTATTATTAGCAGTATTATTTATTATATCCATATTTATATTTGTTTTATTAAAAACAAGCTTAGATTTGCCCACCTGTCAGCTTTTAGACCATATGGGGCATGGCAGGTGTATTTGGATATAACTATAAATTTATTCGTTTGCTGGAAATTAGAACTGAATTTAGAAATAGTTTTGAAACAAATCTTTGCGCTTAACAAACAAAATTAATTATTTATAGGCTAATTAATGTCTGTGTGTAAAGGTTTCCCTATCCAAGAGCGAATGTGAAAGTAGTTCCATTATCTCTCATTCTCACGCAGTAGATGCTCTGTTTAACAGTTTTCTGTTAACTGTTAACTGTTTGCTTGTGAAATGCAAATTTTTTCCACTTAGACTTACTTTGCGTCCTGTAAATAGCGAATGCGCTCTTGGCGCAACGCAGCTGATTCTTAAAGGGAATGGGAGATGAGACTCTAATTGGTTTATTCTTAAAACACACCTATAACTCATTAAGAAAATAAACTCAACCCTTTTAGCCCATGCGCCTTGGTGCAAAGCGCATTATCCCGTCCGTAAATTAGCAAAAATGCATTCTGACACGCCCTGAAAGCGTTTGCGCCCAGCGTTTGCGCTCTGCGCATGGACCATCAAAATAGAGCCCTGAATGCTTAGAGTAAAATGTAATTTAAGTTCACATACCCTGCTGTACAGGTGCAGTTTGCTCTCAGAATGCATTTGTTTTGCTTGTTGATGATTACCTAGGCCTTGTATAGTTCTGTCTTATTTCCTTGACTTTGGCTTGGCAGAACCTCGGTTTTTAGCACTACAATGTTTTAAATCTGGTAATCATGGAACATTATTTCTTGCACATGACCACACAAAACAAAATTGTAGGCATCCAAAGACTTCTAGGCCTTTAACCTGTCTCTTGTAAAATCGCTTGGAGTTTCAATAGTTTGATAGAGATAGTTGTATATTTGGGGCTGGATGCTTGTCCGTTTCGTCTTATCCAATATCCATTGGGAGGGTGCTATCGCAAATGGACCTGTCAGATGAACGCACTCACTTTACAGGGCTTGAAATTGCAACCATTTTTGTCGCATATGCGCCCAAAATTTTATCTGTGCGACCCTAAAATATATATTTGGAAGCATTTGTGCGAGTGCATACAATTGTTGTGTGCGACCAGTTTTTACTGCAAAATGTTCAGCACGTGCGCAGATTTAGGAGACGTTCATGCAGAATTCATCTTTGCACTTGAAACATAAAAAAACGCAGAGCTTAGGAATGGTTTAAAACAGTTGTTATGTCAACTTGCTGCAGTAAACAAAGCCTGCAATGCTTTTCTCACCTTCACGCAGTTCTTATTGGACTATTGCTCTTGAACTGAACGCCTAGGGTTTGGTTAATATCAGCTGTCAATCACTCAGTTAGGTTATAAAAATGTATTTTCTTGTGATAATGGGAATTTGTTGAGACATATTTTCCTCATGCATGCATATATATTTTTGCTTGATTAGTGTTAATTTCAAATGCAAGAAATCTGTTTAAATAAAACGGTGTTTGTAGTTGGTGGGCGCAACAAATTTTTGGCTAATGCGCCTAAATTTTTAAAGTTAGGAGCACCAGTGCTACCAAGCAAAAAGGTTAATTTTGAGTCCTGCTTTATCGATAATTTACCCAAATAACTGCTTATCACTGGGTGATAAGGTCTTATAAAACCGCTGAAAGCATTAATCGTTCATTTCATTTTCTCGTGGACTTAGTTCCTTTATTAATCCGGGGTAATAAACACAGCGGAATAAACCGCCAACTTATCCAGCACGTTTTTTTATGTGGCGGATGCCCTTCCAACTGCAACCCATCTCTGGGAAACATCCATACACTCATTCATACACACAAGCTTACAGCTACGGACAATTTAGCCTACCCAATTCACCTGTACCGCATGTCTTTGGACTGTGGGGGAAACCGGATCACCCGGAGGAAACCCACGCGAATGCAGGGAGAACATGCAAACTCCGCACAGAAACACCAACTGAGCCGAGCCAAGCCGTGATTTGAACCAGTGACTTTCTTGCTGTGAGGCGACAGCACTACCTGCTGGACCACTGCGTCACCACTGAAAGCATTAAGTAAATAATAAATAATAATTATAATATGTAATCAATATAACTTATCTCTAAGACAACAACAAACTTTGTACATCATTGGATGTCATTCCCTCCCTGCAAATGCTAGCGCTTCTGGTTTTTTGTCTGCAACCTCGCTGCATGCGCATTCTGAATGTTTACGAACCAATAATTTGACTATTGTAAACTTAAACTAAAAATTCTTTCTCTAAAATCATTTAAAACTTAAGTAAAAATGCAAAAAAAACTACATAAAAGCGAAGCTTGTACAACTATCAATATATAAAACTTCAATAAATATTAGTTTAATAATATTAAATAAATAATAAAGCTTTTTGAATTTAAAGCTCACGAAAAATAAAAACATGAAAAAAATAATTCCAAAATTTTACATTTTAAATTTAATATTAAAAACTTTGCCTTCTAAGTCCAATATTGTTAACAAAAACAATTCTTGAGCTAAAAATTTTTAAAACATAAAAAAATTGCTAATAAAAATGCCAAAAACTCCTTTTGGAAAAAGTTGTGATTTAATGTGAAATGTAATTTAGTTAAAAGAAAGTATATAACTAAACTTGAAAGAAAATAATATACACACACACACTTAGATCTGGCAACACCTACTTTTTCACGATCCAATCAGCTACACATGCATAAATTTAAGTCCCACCCCCCACAGTTTTAGTTTTTTCTATTTTCCAAAAGTAGGAATACATCAAATTACTAAGGTCAAATGGATTGCAAATGCTAGTTATATAACTACCAATAAAAATAAATCATCACAAAAAAAGGTCTTAAAATGCTGTTGTTCTCACCATTTTCTTATCATCTGGTTCCAGCTTAGTCTGCGCAGTCAGTTACACCACTCAGACCGGCGAGAAGCTTTACTTTAGAAAGTTCTTCAAATTTCAGGTGAGCTCACATCATTGGATGAAATGCTTGATGCATCACTTCTGAACCATTTTGCACAGAGCTGAGACTTTTCATTTACACTAAAGCTTGACATTTGAACTCAAGCATGAGATCTAATGCTGCTTCATACGTCTCCAGTCGCTTCACTGAAAGCAGTGCTGTGTTGTGATTTTAAAAACATGGACTCTATTGGGCTTGATTCAAACTTTAGTTTTAATTCTATTTTAAACCAGGTTCTCAAGCCTCTAGATGTAAAAACCAAATTCTACAATGCCGAGGTAAGTTTACTTTTTGACTTAAGTGATGTTTTATCTGCTGATATTTTAGAGAAAATAGATCCAAAAGCAAGTTATTCATGTATTGTGTATATAGTATTTTCAAATATGATACTTTATAAACCTCCTTTCAGCACTGCCTCGCAGCTTTTGACATAATTTATAGTGAGGCTACGCTTTTTAAGAACCCATTTTATTCATTTTCATTTGACATCTGTTTTGTTAGTAGTGTGGTTGTATGTATGTGTGTGTTTCATTTATAATTAGCCCTTTTGTTCACATTTACACTACCTTAAGAAGAAAACTGACATTGTCATTTTCTGGTGCATGTAACCTTCACTTCTCTAATGTTTATTTTTGTTTTTTATTCCTCCATTAGAGTGACCTCAGTTCTGTGGTAATTGTTTTCCTTCTCATTGCAACTTTTTTTCAGCATAACCCATTTTTCTTCTTCTTCTTCTGAGCCTTTGAAGCAAGCAAAGGAAAACATGAAAAAAATAATTCTTGTATTCAGTATATCCATACATTTTGTTGGAAAATACGAGGTTATGTTCAGAAATTTAGACAGATCCCATTAGTTACACTTCTATTTCAGATTTCAATTTTTATGACCTTTAATGCAATGATGTTTACTGCATTAACCTATTGATTTTAGACAGGCTACATTCCTGACACCAGTAGATACATAGCTCCATTGGTATTTGAATACTAAGTCAACAACCACAGAGGCTTGCGGATACATGGATGGACGTTGATGGGAATGATGGATGGATTTTTGATGTATGGATGAATTGCTGGCTGGGTTGATGGATGGATGGATAGATTATCGATTGATGGGATGGATGGATGAGTGGATGGGTGCATGAAAGCCTGAGAGGGATGGATTATTGATGGATGGGTGAATGATAAATAATTGAAAATAGATATAATATTAATAAATGAGTGGAGAATTGATAGACGTTGATGGGAAGGATTTGATGTATGGATGGATGGCTGGCTAGGTTGATGGGATGTATGGATGGTCAGATAATTGATTAATTGGACGGATGGTTGAGTGGGTGGGTGCATGATAGTCTGGGAGGGATAAATAATTAATGGATGGATGGATGGATGGATGGATGAAGGGGTCTTTGAGGTAATGGATAGAATAGTAATGAATGAGTGGAAATTTTTTATGGACGTTGATGGGAGGGATGGATGGATGGATTATTGATTGATGGGATGGATAGATGAGTGGGTGGGTGCATAAAAGTCTGGGAGGGATAGATGATTGATGGATGGGGAGGTCTTTGATGTAATGTATAAAATATTGATGAAGAAGTGCAGAATTGATGGACGTTGATGGGAATGATGGATGGATTTTTGAAATATGGATGGTTGGCTGGCTGGGTTGATGAGATGGATGGACAGATTATTGATTGATGGGATGGATGAGTAGGTGGGTGCATGAAAGCCTGAGAGGGATGGATTATTGATGGATGGGTGATTGATGAATGATGGATGGATGGATGGTTTTTTGATGTAATGGATATAATATTGATAAATGAGTGGAGAAGTGATAGACGTGAATGGGTTGACAGGAAAGACGGATGGATTTTTAATGTATGATTGGCTGGCTGGGTTGATGTGATGGATGGATGGATGGATGGATAGATAGATAAATTATTTATGGATGGGTTGGATGAGTGGGTGGGTGCATTCATGTCTGGGAGGGATAGATAATTGATGGATGGGTGAATGATGAATGGACGGCTGGATGGAGGGGTCTTTGAGGTAATGGATAGGAAATTGATGAATGAGTGGAGATTTGATGGACGTGGATGGGTTGATGGAAAGAATGGATGGATTTTTAATGGATGGATGGATGGTAGGAGTAGATATATGAGTGGATGGATGTGTGGAAGATTGGATCAATTGGGTGGTTGGATGGGATGGGATAGATGGATAAATGTTTGATTTATAGATGAATAAAAAGAACAATGGATAATGAATACATGGAAGTGTGAATAGATTAATGAAAGGACGGATTGACGGATAATGGTGGATTGATGAATGGATAACTAGCTGAATGAAGAGTTGAAATGAGATCGATGATAACTGATGGATTAATAGTTAATGAATAGTTGAAAGAATGAGCAAATGGATTGATTGATCAAAAATAATGATGCATCTGCTAGATGGGTGAAAGGATGGACGAATGGGTGGATAGTTGATGGATGGTTTGGTGGATGTATGGATGGATGATTGAATAGAGTTATGGATAAAGGACAGATAAATGGACACGGGTGGATAAAATAACTGTCTGGTGCATGCTTGGAGGATGTTTGATGAATGGATGATATATGTATGGATATTGGGTAGATAGATGATGGATGTTTACTCTAAATTTTCATTCAATGCTGTTTTTTGGTTGTCTAAATAGATGCCAAATAAACAAACTGATGACAGAGAAAGACAAAAAAGTGCCTGTTTTCCTTTGCTTGTTTCCTCTCTTTACTTTACTGCTCACTCATTTTACCAGAGCTAAACTCAGTTAAACATCAATCTGATTCATTTCCACTCTTTTTCTTAGGCTGGGAGAATTTGCTGCTTGTTTTATTGATATTTTATGTCAACTGCTGTTTTCCTTGACAGATTTAAATATCTTTTGCTTTTGAATGCCAAAAACGTACACAGTCAACTGTTGTATTAACCCTTCGACATGTACTATCACACTGGTGTGATCAGTCTTGGCTGATGCATTTGATCACACCGGTGCCAAATTCAAACATTTTTTGCAATAGCTGGTGCTGAGCCAGAGAAATAAAGCACAATTTATAAGCATATTTTAACAAATATTGTTAATTTTTAGATTTCAGATATGTAAAAACACAAAGGTACTTGAAAAACACAGCGTTTACGGTTTTTAAAATGCATCTATAGAAAGCGAAAATAATATATTTATTTATAATAATCATGTGATGTGCTCTATTCTCATCACATACACAATGTTTAGGTTACTGTAACTTTTACTCCATTCTTCTCAAAGCTAAACAGCCACATAGTTTCATGCGTCTCTAGAGAAGTTAACGTGTTGTGAATTCAGCAGCTCTAATCACTCTTATTGAAGCATAGACTAACACGGTGATGCCCATTACAAATCAAATAATAGAATCATTATTAAGACCTCACCTTTTTGCAAAGGTCACTATTGACCTTATTCTTCGCTTATGAGCGGGCGCAGCGATTTGAAACTTTTTGGTTCGAGACTTCCAGTCTTATTCACTTCCATTAATTTTTAGATGCTAAAAACAGCTCTTTCTGCTGCTTGATGTAGTAAACTGATATTTTCTTATGATATTATTCTACTTTTCATGTATAGTCATGCTTGTTTGAAGAGCAACTAGTTTGACCGTTTTCTACATTTATTATTCCTAGTCATTTCTCCCTTAGGCGACTGAATAAGAGGTTCTAAAACAATTGCAAAAACGAGCACACTTCCGCGTTGAAGAATAAAGTCAATATACTATATAACTACAGGGATGTCCTGTCTGCCATATACAGAACACATTCACCATTTTTATTTTGAGTAATCTAATAACGTGAACCTTTTGTAAAGCTGTTTTGGAGTAATAATTATTGTGAAATGCGCTTTACAAATAAACTTGAATTGAACATTTTATTAAAGGAACACTCCACCTTTTTTGGAAAATGATTTATGCTAAGCTAAGCTAAAAATGCATGCTTGGATGATGTTTGATGAATGGATGATATATGTATGGATATTGGGTAGATAGATGATGGACGTTTACTCCAAATTTTTATTTTATGCTGTTTTTTTATTGTCTAAATAGATGGCAACATATTGAAGACAGAGAAAGACAAAAAATTTACCTGTTTTCCTTTGCTTGTTTTCTCTCTTCACTTTACTGCTCACTTATCTTACCAGAGCTAAACTCAGTTAAACCTCAGTCTGATTCATTTCCACTCTTTTTTTTTCTTAGGCTGGGAGAATTTGCTGCTTGTTATATCAATATTTTATGTCAACTGCTGTTTTCCTTGACAGATTTAAATATCTTTTTGCCAAATGCAGAAATCGGCTGAATTCAAAGATATCTCTAGGGGTGTTTTAAAATGAGCCTGTTTTCAAAAAAAAGTGAAGTGTTCCTTTAAACTGTCTAAATGACAAAATACATGTTATTACACTTATTCGTTAATCAAAATATTAAATATTTTACAATGTAATTTAGACGTTTGTCAATATTTACAGAACAGGAAAAATAAATTATATTGCACAACTCATTGGACTGTCACAAGATAAACTTGACGCATCACCATCGAAATGTTTAAAGCAATGCTTTCTAAATAAATAATAGTAAGATTAAAAAAAAACTCTTTCAAGAGTTTCAGCAGGAGTAATAAAACTTACATGCTGAAAGGGTTAATAATAATGGTATAATGAGTTTAAAGTCTTTTTCAGAGTTGAATTTTTATTTATTTTTTTGGTGATTTTAATCAGGCTTGGCATGGGATCTTTGCTTCATGCTTTAACGATACTTCTGTCAAAAGGTGCTGTTGATCCACAGGCATGAACTAACCTCTACTTGCAAAACTCAATACTAATCTACCAGCCGGAGATCAACTGGGCAAACAGCTGCTTTATTTGCCTCTGCAAAAAACGTCAATAAATTCCACTTGAACTTATTTGAAGAACTTGATTTGACGGGCCACATTCTAAGACCTTTACAGTCAGTTTTGTCCTCCTCATTTGTAAGTCGCTTTATATAAAAGCATTTGCTAAATGACAATGTAAAAAGAAAATGTGATCATTCAAATTCAGTAGGATGCTGATTGAAGCGATTGCAATTGTATTTATAGCGATAGTTTTATTATTACATATTTAAACTATTACATGTTTAAATGTCGAGCCCTTCAAATAAAGTATCACTCCAGGATAATGTGTGTGAAGTATTCATGTACATTACTGCATAAATCTCACTGATGCTTTTGACTCTACAGACAGATGAGGTGTTTTTAGAGGCGCAGATCCAGAACATCACCACATCTCCAATGTTCATGGAAAAAGTGTCCCTTGAACCTTCTATGATGTACAACGTCACTGAGCTCAACAATGTGGCGTCTGGAGATGAGAGGTGACTTTTATATTTTAGCCTCTTCTTTATTTAATACACCAATCTGTAACATTTTAGGTTGAAGGGGCCAAAGTAAATTTTCTGTGGTCCATATACAGTTAAAGACAACAGTATTAGCCCTGCTGTGAAGTTTGAATTCTTTTTCAAATGTTTGCTAAGTGGTATTTTAGCACCTTTTTAAACATAATAGTTTTAATAACTACTTTGTTCTGTCTTTGCCATTATAACGGTATATTATATATTACTAGTGATTTTGCTAGATGCTAGTAATCAGCTTAAAGTACATTTTAAAAGCTTAACTAGAGACTGAGTTAGTTTAATTAGGTAAGTCATTGTACTAAAGGGGTTTGTACTGTAGCGAATTGAAATAAAAATTCTTAAGTGGACTAAAATTGACCTTATTTACCTTTTTTTTAATATTCCAGCCAAACTAAAAGAAATAAAACTTTACATTAGAAAAACATTACTGAAAAAATGGTATTACGGAAATACTGTAAACGTGTCTCTGCTCTGTTAAATAAATTTGCAAAGGAGGGCTAAAAACGTTTTACTTGTATTGTAAGATAATGTGTAAAAGTGAATCCGTAAAAAAATCTGTTAATTGTAGAAACCTTAGTTTTTCTCTGAAACTTTGTAAAGTAAAAAGTGCATCACATCTGTGACATTTCTGCAAACCTTTATAACTGAAATTACCTTTTCCATCAAGGACAGTATCTCACTCGTTGACCTGACATCCAGGTTTTTTTTCCCTTCATAAGGACAATCTTTATAATTATTGAAATTGTAATTTGTATGCGGCCAGAATATTATAAACTGTTTCCAGCAAATTAGAAACAAACCATTTATAACTTCATATAAAATGTACATTTAAAAGCAGAAACCCATTAGAGCACTTGGCTTCTACACATCACTTCAATTACACAAATCATCATCATTATTATTATTAGTGTTGTTGACTAATGTGTAGGATAACAGAAATGTATATGATTGGTTAGAATGTTCAGCAATTTAATGTTAAGGTAATGCTGCAAAACATTTGTACCCATTACATCCAAGCATGACAACAAACTTTTAAGTGCAGTGGCATTTATGTTGAAAAAAAAGGTTTTTGTGTTTCTTTTGGTGCCATTTCTGCTACAATCCCCCATTAACTTCTATTTGTGGAGAAATATTTCATCCTCAGATCAAACTCCCGACCATGTGGTTTCTTGTTGAAAACAGAATTTTTCATGTGAAAATCTAGAGACTTTTATTACAGTATGTTGATGTACTTCCAACTGAAACTGAATAATGAGTAGGGGGTGAATATTGTGCATCATTCTTTTATAGCAAATTAATGGTAAGAGGGGCATAATTAAGAATATTGTGGCTGAAGCTGTCAAACTGACATCATCAGAAAAGGACGCCACTCCTAACTCAGAAACATTCATTCATTTTCTGCTGCTTTTCCGGGGCCGGGTTGTGGGGCCAGCAGTATTAGGAGAGAACCCCAGACTTCCCTCTTCCCAGACACTTCCTCCAGCTCCTCCGGTGGGATCCCGAGGCGTTCCCAGGCCAGCCGAAAGGTATAGTCCCTCCAGCGTTTCCTGGGTCTTCCCCGAGGCCTCCTCCCGGTGGGACATGCCAAGAACACCTCCCAGCTAACTTCTCTTGATGTGGAGGAGCAGTGGCTCTACTCCGAGCTCCTCCCGGGTGTCTGAGCTTCTCACCCTATCCATAAGAGTGCACCCTGCCACCCTTCGAAGGAAACTCATTTCGGACGCTTGTATCCGAGATCTTGTCCTTTCGGTTATTACCCAAAGCTCATGACCATATATGAGAGTAGGAACGTAGATTGACCGGTAAATCAAGAGCTTTGCCTTTCGGCTCAGCTCCTTCATGGTAGGAGGTCCGGTACATCGACCACATTACTGCTGTTGTGCACCAATCCACCTGTCAATCTCACGTTCCATCCTTCCCTTACTCGTGAACAAAACCCCCGAGATACTTAAACTACTCCACCTAGGGTAAGGACTTTCCTCCAACCTGGAGATGGCAAACCACCTTTTTCAGGTGCATGGAGCACCATGGCCTCGGACTTGGAGGTGCTGATTCTCATCTCATCACACAATGCAGCAAACCGCCCCAGTGCATGCTAAATAAAAAAATTGTCAGAATTTGATTTGAGATTACCGAAAAAAAATTTCAGTGGATTAACTGGCATGGATTGATTGTACAATTAAAAAATATCAATGCACGCTAGCAAAAACAAACATTGTAAATTTAGATTTTACTTGGATTGTGCTAACAGGTACAGCAAACATCAAAATGTTGCCATTTAAGCTTAACTTCAGATTTAAAGCCACTAATAAAAGGCTATATTTTTAACAAATGGCAAGCAGACCAGGATCAGTGCTTAGGAAATAAACTTTTGAAATTCAGCCTGAAATGGGAAGAAAATCCATCTATTGTAATAGCTCAAGACATGATGAGATTGTTTACTGAAGATGTCGTATTGGACTCTTGAGACTCGCACATGAACAATTACCTAAAGGAGAAGAACCCCAACATGACAATACTGCAACAGAATACAAACTGTCAAACACTATCTTTCGAAATGCTCGATTTTTTTATGTTATCAGACAACTATTTGTATCTGGAGAGACTTTTTAAATAAAGTATTTTTTAATGTGAATCCATCCAAAATTGTACAATTGTTATTAAAAATAAACCTAAAAAGCTGTGTTTGCCATGACAAAGCCAGAGAAGCTGAAATGGCAATAAACTCAAAACTCTCTCTCTCTGCCATATTGTTTAATATGTGCTTTACTTTTTTTCTTCTGTTTCAGCAGCGAGTCAACATTTGGGAAGATGTCGTATCTGCAGCCCTTGGACACGAGGCAGTATTTGTACTGTTTGAAGCCCAAGCCAGAGTTTGCAGAGAAGGCCGGGGTCATCAAAGGAGTCACGGTCATCGGCAAACTAGACATTGTGTGGAAAACCAACCTTGGGGAGAGAGGACGACTGCAGACCAGTCAACTGCAGAGAATGGTACAGTGGATTTAGCATAGATTAAATCAAACTGTCGATAAACCAAAGAAAATAAAGATTTGCTTGAATTTATTATTTGCAATCAAAAGAATTATTTCACCACATAAATCAGAAAAAGACCCAATATAGTGAAACTTTAAACCGTAACTGCCCTGGAATGTCATTCATTTTATATATATTGTGTGTGTGTGTGTGTGTGTGTGTGTGTGTGTGTGTGTGTATGTGTATGTGTATGTGTATGTGTGTGTGTGTGTGTGTGTGTGTGTGTGTGTGTGTGTGTGTGTGTGTGTGTGTGTGTGTGTGTGTGTGTGTGTGTGTGTGTGTGTGTGTGTGTGTGTGTGTGTGTGTGTGTGTGTGTGTGTGTGTGTGTGTGTGTGTGTGTGTATATATATATGTATATATGTATGTATATATGTGTGTGTGTAAAATAATATAAATTCTAATATTTAAAAAAATATATGCACAGACAGGTTCGAAGGTCCTGAATTCTTTCAGTTTTTTTTTTTTTTTCAGAGTATTTGGGCATTTTCTTCAATAAATAAACCTGACAGGACAACTGGAGATGGCAAAAAAAAACTGATGCTGCTTTGAATTAGACTGACTACTATTTATCTATTGATCCACTATTCATATCTATTAAAAATAAATGTAAAACATCATAAAAACATGCGAAACACATCGATCCGATTTGGTTTGACAGCTGTTCACTGAAACACCACCGAATCTCGCTGGACCCTACTGCACAGGCGTGCGTCCGTTATAAAACACGTTACGTTTATTTGGACAACTATACGCATATTTTAAAGTGTTCACACAAAGAGAGCATGCATAGTTTGTAAATCAACGGACTTGTGGGACGGAGGCACCTGCGAGCGATTATTATAACTGTAATCATCGTTACCTTTCAATTTGCGTGACGGTTTAATTTATACAACTGAGGACGTAGGCCTAATTGACGTGCAGCGGTTGGAAATTTAAGCCACAGTCTGCATTTAACACAGAGTCCGAATAAGCTTATTCAGTCACAGAAAGTGAGAAATGCCATTAGCTACTTTGATAATTTTAATATGATATATCTTATAATGAAATCAAATTATTAGTATAATATTTAAGTTAATTTTAAGTTTTTATTTTAAACTCTCGCAGCACACCTGCAGGATCACGGAGGCCCACTAGTGAGGTCAACCACCGGTTGAGAATCCCTGGTCTAGGATGAGCTGCCTGGGGGGTTTGCAAATATGGCCATCGAATAAACATATTGGCTAAGATTATGCATCATTTGCCTCTGACGAATATTGGCCTCTGTTCAGTTGTTTGCATTGACTTTGTATGCAATCTACTGTTTCGAAACAGAACATGTACATTTGCATTTGGTGTGAACCCAGCATTAGTTCATGGTCACTTATGCCAATTCAGCCTCTCTTTTGAAGTGTTATCGAAAATTGAAGAATAAGACACGTCAAAGTGTAAAACTGTTTATAGACATACACCAACGTTTGAAATCAGTGTGTGTGTGTGTGTGTGTGTGTGTGTGTGTGTGTGTGTGTGTGTGTGTGTGTGTGTGTGTGTGTGAGTGTGTGTGTGTGTGAGTGTGTGAGTGTGTGAGTGTGTGAGTGTGTGAGTGAGTGACCCCCTGTTTATTTTTTTTCCCCCCAATTTATGTTTAACAGAGAGAAGATTTTTTTCAACACATTTCTAAACATTATAGGTTTAATAACTAATTTCTAATAACTGATTAATTTTATCTTTGCCATGATGACAGTAAATATTATTTGACTAGATATTTTTCAAGACACTTCTATACAGCTTAAAGTGACATTTAAAGGCTTAACTAGGTTAACTAGGCTGGTTAAGGTAATTAGGCAAGTTATTGTATAACGATGGTTTGTTCTGTAGACTATTGAAAAAAAAATTGGTGTTTAAAAAAATTAATAACTGCTTTTATTCTAGATTACAAATAAATAAATAAATACAAATAAGAGTCTCTAGTAGAAGAAAAAATATTATCAGACGTACTGTGAAAATTTCCTTGCTCTGTTAAGCATCATTTAGGAAATATTAAAAAAAGAATTCAAAGAAGGGGCTAATAATTCTGACTTCAACTGTATACACACACACACACACACACACACACACACACACACACACACACACACATTTAATTTTTTTATAAATCTGCAAAATGTCAAGAATTCAGTGTTTTTCTGTCAACATGTGCTGTGTGTACATTGAGAAACAAAAAAAACAAACTTAAATGATTTGTGAAAAATTTATGGGGGTCTGAATACTTTTCATACCCACTGATTTTATATATATATATTATATATTTATATATACTGATATAATATACATATATTAGAGGTTTAACGGTTCACAAAAATCACGGTTCGGTTCGACACGATACAGTGGTGTCATGTTTCGGTACATTTTCGAAACAGCAAAAAAGGAAAAAAGTCAGAGGATTTCTTTGATTTAATTTTTTTTAGTGTATTAAAACTAACAATATAAAAGTATGATCCTGTTTTTTTTTTTTTTTTTTACTTTAAACAGTAATAGAGCTATACTTCTGGGGTTTCTGCTTAGCAGCAAATAAAATAAACCCTTCTTTATACTCAAAACCAAAAAGCTGCTTATAAAAAAAATAAATATAATATTGTAGCAGTTAAACAAATAAAAATAACAGAAAAATTTAGTTTTTAAATGGAATTTCAATCTATTTTTAAGTATTTTTTTATTTTCAGAAAGATGAGTGTCCACCTTTTCTTCAGACAGCACAGATCTGCTTGATTAGACGGTCACCTGCCATTTTAGTGAATCTGAAAGCAGGAATTATCTGACTGAAATGGGCTAATGAAGGAATAATGTAACGGGGCTCTATTACATTTAATATTTTCTTGTAACCTGAAATTTCCACTACCGATTAAGATCTTACAGGGCTTGAAATCAACATTTTTTCTTGGGAGCACCGGTGCTCCTAACTTCAAAAATTTAGTAGCACCCACCAAAAATGATGAGCACCGTAACTACACGTTTTATATGAACAGATTCTATTATATATTAACACTCTAATCACAATTAACAAATAAACAAAAATCTGCATGCGCTCACCGGCCCTGCACACACTGATTGACGTGAATAAGATGAACTGAATTAACAATAATCACTATGTTGTTCTTACGGGTGCTGTCTGATATTGCACAGATGATATTATAACGTATTATTTGCATACGTCATCTTAATAGCAGTAATGGTATTTTCGTGAGCTGCAATGTCAGTTTCATCTCAGTGAATGTATGTGATTGTGCACGCAGTATCATTTGCACAACTGACAGCATCGTGATGGATAATTGAAGGATTAAATAACTTTAGAACATCTCGTGCTTAAAATGTGTAGTTAAGACAAACACTGTTACCTGAAAACTCCTTCCCATTGGCTTTACGGTGAATGCTTAATCATAGCGGACTTTAACCACTGGAAGTCTTTTATCCACTCTTTGAAAAGTGTAAATGCTGGATTGACATTCAGCACATGATCACTAATCAGATGTGTCATTAGTTGTAACTCTAGCTGGTTTCAAAATCTAAATCTGCCAGTGTTGTTTTCATTCTCTCGTATCCAGACCATAACATTTTCACGCCTGGAGCTCCCTGTCATCGGCACTGAGTGATTGACAGCTGATTTAAACCAATGAATTTGCATTCTGTTCTAGCGCAGTGGGCCAATAAGAAGAGCTTGAAGGCGGGGCAAGCATTGCGGGCTTTTTTGTACTTCTTCTCTTTTATCTTTTTAGATATTAGTCTGAATTTTTTGGTTTGCAATGCGTACCGAACCAAAAGTCTCGTACTGAACGGTTCAATACGAATACGCGCATCGTTACACCCTTTATATATATATATATATATATATATACGCACACACATACAGTACACACACACATATACAGTTGAAGTCTGAATTATTAGTCCCCTGCTTATTTTTCTCCCCTATTTCTGTTTAACGGAAAGAAGACTTTTTACTACACATTTCTAAACATAATAGTTTGAATAACTCATTTCTTATAACTGATTAATTTTATCTTTGCCATGATGACTAAATAATAATTGACAAGATATTTTTCAAGACACTTCTATACAGCTTAAAGTGACATTTAAAGGCTTAACTAGGGTAATTAGGTTCACTAGGCAGGTTAGGGTCATTAGGCATGCATTGCATAACGATCGAAAAATATATAGCTTAAAGGGGCTAATAAATTTGACCTTAAAATGGTTTTAAAAAAATGTTAAACTGCTTTTATTCTAGCTGAAGTAAAACAAATAAGACTTTCTCTAGAAGAAAAAAATTTTTTTTAGAAATACTGTGAAGACTTTTTTTTACTCTGTTAAACATCATTTGTGAAATATTTTTTAAAAATTATATATAAATTATTGTATATAAAATATGTTTTTTATTAAACAAGGAAAAAAAAAAAGGAAACATAACTAAAATCAACTCAAATACAACCTCAAATCACAGTAGATTTTTATATAAATTATATGCAATGGCATGCTCAATCGATTTTTTTACAACACTTGTTACGCTTTTTTTAATCCAACCTAAACATGAGTTTCTCTTTACAGTGTATTTCCTTTTACAATTACTTTCGATTTGGTCCTTGTAAATGGTTTCAGGGTAATCCTCCAATGAGTAATGGCTTTTCTGCTACTTGCTAAGTATTTGTATTTTCGGGTGGCACAACTTCTGAAACTTCTCAAAGTAATAATGCAATGAATGAATAATCCATTTCATTGCTATGCAGGCCTAAAAAATGTGAAAGCGATTAGCTATTGAAGTTCCACATTGTGTCTCCAAGAGCCCAGACAAAACTTTTTTTTTTTTTCCATCCACACTCTTGGGTTTGTAGTTTTGCATGTGTGACGCACATGTCTGTCCAGTCTTTGCTTATTTGTCATAAGTTTTTGACTTTATTATAATGCCCTCATGACACTCATGCTTATGACATATTATCGTTACGTAGTCTTAGTAATGTTGAGTGGTCATGACAAAGACATTGGCAGATTTTGTTGTCTTGGTAATGTTCAGTTGTCGTGACCAAGTGTCTGTTCTTCATACGTGGATTAGGGTTGTGTAGATAGACTATGCCATTGTCCATCGCCTATGGCTGGCAAGCTTCACAATGCTGATCTGGCATCGCGATCCATCTCCCCGCCCCAAATTTTTATTGATATATAACTTATTATTTGCAGGAATAGGATTTTTCAGTGAAAACAATGAAAATGTATGCACTACAGTGAACTCCAACCAAACTCTCGTCTCCTCCACTACCTGTGGGAAAAGCCATTAGAACGACACAGATCACTGCCTATTCATGCCCGAGTCCTGAAGAAAAAAAGTGATTGACTGGTGGTTATTTGTTTGTAACTTAATTTTTTTATGGTTTTGTTATGGGTAAAGCAAAGACCATGTGGGTCAGGTAGTGAAAACGGTAGGCTACAATTGATTAATTTGTTATGAATGAATTGATATTTAACAACCACCCCCACCACCTGCCTACGACGATGATGGCATCATCCATTGCGATGTTTCACATTAGACACCGTACAATGCCAAATTGGTCACCATCGCCCAACCCTAACGTGGATTACTCAGCCGGATTTGGTTATTGACAATTTGACACGATCCAGGGTTGTTTAGTTCTTCAAAACCCATCTGAGACTTGTTGTCATAGCAGGTTTATTTCATATAAACAGGATTAGATTGGGTCAGTTCAAAATAATACTGAAAGTTTGTACCAAATTCTGATATTCTCTTATTGTAGTTATACACTTGGGAAAATAGTAGATATACTTTATAAAGATATATTAAGTTACATAAAGTTAAAGATATATATATTAATAAAACTTATGCAATCTCAACTCCGAAATAAAAGTAAAAAGACTGCCACCTGGTGGTCCAAAGAGAAAATGTATTAATATTAACTTTTTGGATACAGATGCATAAATGCACAATATTTGATTTTTATTTTTTATTTTTTAAAGGATAATAAATTATGCAGTCATGCAAGTGTCGCTAATATGCTGGTGATTTGATGCTTTGCAAAAGTTGCAGACACCTTTACCGATATAAAAATGCTTTTTTGATTCAAAATTAATTTATACAGTTATTCCTTACACCGATTTAAAAAAAAAAAAGAAAAAAAAAAACTTGAGTAGGCCTAGGCTACTATAATTAAGAAAATCTTCTCTAAATGTAGAACTAAATACATTGAAATACATAATGAATACTCTTGACACATGAAAGTGTAAAACCTGCAGCTCACAACAAATGTGGTAAGTTATTGTGTGTCATATTTAACAAACCGTTTACGCCCAATTTTATGTAATTTAGCTCACATGGATAGTTGAATATTAATCAGATGATGTCATTATGCTGCTGTACCATCAGCCAATCTTTTCATTCCTCATTCCTGATCATGGTTTCAGGGATACATAGATCTGTCCTTCACGACACACACATCAATCTTAGATCAGTTCATCCAGACATTTTAATCTGATTCACCAGCTTGTTTGAAAAACCAAATTAGCCAGAGATCAGTTATCAAGATTATTAGGTCCAGGATCTGCTAAAACATCTTAGATTATTTAAGCAAGGTACGAAGAACTTAACACAAAAACTGTTTATTATGATGTATGATAAAGATGTCATAACAAAGACATCTAAAATACTGTTAAATTACCTAATTGTGCACATGACACATAATGAGTGTTGCCATAAGCATGCATAACATCTCTGAAATCTATTCAATTCATGTTTCATGTCAAACGATTAATCGCATCCAAGAAAAGTGTGTTTACATAAAATATACATAGTGCTACCTTGTGACAAAAAAAAAAAACTGCACTACTGTTTTCTGTCTGTCTTTATAACTAAAACTACATTATAAAATAGGCAGGTATCTGTGAATGTCATAACAAAAATATCAGATGTATTTCAGTGTGCATGTTTTATCCACTCTGGGGTAATTGTGTGTCTTAATTTGGCCACAACTTCCCCTGTGTTTCAGCAAATTGAATGATTCGTGGTGACAAATCTTATTTTGACATATTTTGGGAAAATGCTTTGATAATTGTAAAATAAATAAGTACATAAACAATACACACAATACACAAGATTGACTACCCTTTCATTATGTTGGGGGCTGTTTTTGCCACATTGACTTCCATTATAATGACATTTTTTGATTGCAAAGCCATGTCAGCATATAATCATGCATTCTTGATTGTTGCTGATTTTCCCTGTAGTTAATTTTTTGAATTGTGGTGTTGATCATCAGTTACAGTGGAAAAAAGCATTGTTCATACACTGTATAGTGTGTATGTGTGTGTGTGTGTGTGTGTCTGTCTGTCTGTCTGTCTGTCTGTCTGTCTGTCTGTCTGTGTCTGTCTCTTTGGGTGTTTGTGTGTGTGTGTGTGAGTGAGAGAGAACTTTGCGCATCTATCTTGATATGTCTGAGAAAATCCAAGTACTCTCAAAACACAGTTAACAAAGTAAGTGTACTTATGCACACACCCACTGTAATCTGCTGTTTTACTCTATAGAACTTTATATAAAAGCCAAAAACTTTTTTTTTCACAGACCTACCTAAAGGGTTAATTCTGCTTAAAACTGATGATCAACAGAAAAAGTACATATTTTATCTCTTCCCGACAGAGAAAACCAGCAACGACTAAAAGTTCTTGATTATATGGTGCCATGGTTTTCCAATCAAAAAATGTCATTATAATGGAAGTCATAGGGGCAAAAACAGCCACAAGCATAACGAAAGGTTGGCAATTTTTGTGTGTGTGCGCATAAGTACACTTACTTTGTTAATTGTGTTCTGAAAGTACTTGGTTTTCTCAGACATATCAAGATAGACGCACAAAGTTCTCTCTTATACACACACACACATTATACAGTGTAGAAACTAAGCTTTTCCACTGTAACTGATGATCAACAGTACAAACTGAAAATTAACTCTTCCCAACAAGGAAAACCAGCAACAGTCAAGAATGCATTATTATATGGTGTCTTGGCTTTGCAATCAAAAAATGTCATATAATGGAAGTCAATGGGGCAAAAACAGCCACAAACATAACGAAAGGTAGTCCATCTGAACAATGTACAAGGGTTAAAAAATGGTGTTGGTGCATTCCTGGTTTCTAGTGTACATCCAGCACATTTGACTGAGTGTCTTCCTCCAGGCTCCTGGTTATGGGGACGTCAGGCTTTCTCTGGAGTTCATCCCAGACACAGTGGATCTAGAGGAGCCCTTCGACATCACCTGTAAAATCACCAACTGCAGGTAAGCGCGTCACTGTCAGCCTGCCCGCTTCTAGAGGAACTCCATTAACAGCTGATTTGCTTCTTACCAGTGAGCGGACCATGGATCTGCTGCTGGAGATGTGTAACACTCGCTCCGTCCACTGGTGTGGGGTGTCCGGCAGACAGCTGGGCAAACTGAGCCCCAGCGCATCGCTCTCCATTCCACTCAAACTACTGTCGTCCGTTCAGGGTTTACAGGTAAGAGGAGCACACACTGTCACAGTGGGGTTTTCTTGCACTGCCAGGGGAGCGGCAGTTCACCCTAAAAAGAACATTTCCTCAACGTTTACTTACACTCGAGTCATTGTAAACTTTTATGAATTTCTTTCTTTTGTTGAACACAAAAGATTTTCTGAAAAATGTTGAGGAACTGCCATTGACATTCATAGTAGGATCAAAATACTGTGGAAGTCACTGAGTGTGTTTACATGGACACCAATAATCCGATTTGAATTTGATTATTTTACTGTTTTAAAAAGCTTTAACCATTACTTAAAATTAGTTTCCAATCGAAAATACAATTACAGTCCCCTTTTTAAATTGTAATTTTATACAGCACAATGAATAAGAGCTCAGTTAACAATAAAAGGACATTTCGACCAATGTGCATTTTTGCCAGTGTGGATAAACTTGAATTGCGACACCAATAAAGGGCAAGAAACTTATGATTCTATGGTAACTCAAATTCAAAGAACATTCATGAGTGGTGAACATAAAAATACTCTAAATTGTCCTTTCTTCATTCATGGACTTGCTCAACATGTGATGCTTCATATTTGTTTATTTCTGAGTTGTGCATGGACATAAGTTAAGGTTTTGTTGAAACCTGCATTATAGTAATATTATAGTAATAATTAAGTATTAGTAGTAATACTATAATATTTTTTAGTAATTTATAGTAATACAGTAGCAAATGCAAATTTTTTTAAAGAGGCATTTTGAGATATACAGATAACCCCTACTACCCCCCGGTTGTTCTTTTTTAAATATTTCCTAAATTAAGTTTGACATAGCTAAAAAAAAAATTCACAATTTAAAAAAAAGAAGTTTTACAATTGTAAAAGATGTTTTACATTTTTTTAACACAGTATTAAGGTCAAAATTATTAGCCCCTTTAAGCTATTTTCTCAATAGTCTACAGAACCATCATTATACAATAACTTGCCTAATTACTCTGACCTGCCTGGTGAACCTAATTAGCCTAGTTAAACCTTTAAATGTCACTTTAAGCTGTATAGAAGAGTCTTGAAAAATATCTAGTATAATATTATTTACTGTCATCATGGCAAAGATAAAATAAATCAGTTATAAGAGATGAGTTATTAAAACTATTATGTTTAGAAATGTGTTGAAAAAATCTTTTCTCGGTTAAACAGAAATTGGGTAAAAAAATATACAGGGCTAATAATTCTTACTTCAACTGTATTTACATCCAAATGGCTCTTTAAAACAATGCAATTGCTAAAAAAAAAAAAAAAAAAAAAAAAAAAAAAAAAAAAAAAAAAACAGAAATGGCTATTTGCTGAAATCCTTTTCAAATCCTCTTTTCAAACATCTTTTCAAAGTCTTCAATTTTTCCACAACACACATATTAAACAACATTTTAACATGATACATAGCTAAGAACATACTCGCACTCCTTAAAGAAAAATAAAAATAAAATAAATAAATGAATAAAAATAAATAAATAAATAAAAACAGATAAAACAAATTTGAAAATTAGAGATAAACTCTCACTTAGGATATAATAACCCCTGAGCGTTCAGTGTAGGATAGGAAAGGCTGCCAAACCTCATAAAGCTTTTTTGTAGAGCCTCGGATGGTGTACTTACGGTGCTCAGGTTTAAAATGTGATGACACTTCTAATGTCCAATGTTTGTGGGATGGCGGGTTTGTGTTTTTCCGCCTAAGAAGAATCAGGCGTTTGGCCAATAAAGAAGAGAAGACACTGATTTCTACATGATTACCTGACGGGTACATTTCTTTTGGCACTGTACCAAAAATGGAAGACAAAGGATTAGGATCCATATCTTCATTACATATAAATGAAATTGATCTAAAAATATCGATCAAATTGAGGTAATCTAGGGCATCCCCAGAACAAATGACTCAGATCTCCTGGCTCCACACCACATCTGGGGCAAGATGAATCTGACCCTGGATACATGTTTGCCAGCTTGCTCCTAGATAGATAAGCCTATGTAGCACCTTAAACTGTAGAATACCATGGGCCCTATCATACACCTGGCGCAATGCGGCACAAGTCACGAAGAAATTGTTATTGGCTAATTTCAGCTTGGCGCAAGAGCCACGCTGTTAAATTTCATTTGCGCTCATAGGTGTTCCGGTCTAAAAAAGGAGGTGTGTTAAGGTGCATTGCTGGCATATTGCTATTTTAAGGAACTAAAATAGACTATTCAATAGCAGATCAAAACAGCTCTATAGTCCAGCGCAGAGTGCGTTATTTGTGCGCCTCGCCTACACACTGCTTAAAGGGCACCTAGGTTACTCCTTTTTTCAGATTTAATATAAGTCTTTTGCGTCTCTAGAATGTGTATGTAAAGTTTCAGCTCAAAACACCCATTAGATTTTTCATTATACGTTTTACAAGATCCTGTTTTATACATTTTTCCACCAGGGGGTGGTTTTGTCGTACTGCGCTTTTAAGGTGAATCCTCCCCGCCTACTGTTTCTACGTGCCTTCCCGCGTGCTTTAATCTCCTTCCTCGGCTGGAGATAAGCAAAGAAAAGCGCGCATATCTTTGCACTGTTTTTGCCTGCAAATGTGACAGGATACAGGCTAATCTTCACTGCTGTGTTGATATCTGTTATGTTATTGTACAAAATAAACCTGATTTAACGTCCACAAACCAGGATTGAAGCGTCTTCCTTTATAATTGTTCTGACACACGGCTGTGCTGATGAAGTAAATCGCTGTAATTAATTACACACGTGCACTGTTTTAAAACATTTTAAACATGTGAAGCTCACTCCAGATCACATTTGATGATGATTGCCGATCCTAGCGTACTGAACAGACCTTTTATTCCTGGTTGCTTTGCGCACATCTGGTCTTGTTGACATATACACGTGACTACCGGGACATGTTAATGTGCGCAGCTGTCAATCAATTCAGTGGGTGGGGGGGCCACACTCCTATGTAAAGTTGTGGTCGGTCTAAAAAACCGCTCCAATTGGTCCACCGTTTTATGTTGTTAAATTGAAAAAAAAAAAAAAAAAAGGACTGGGTGTGTTTATATCACCCCAATATGATGGTCTATACACTATATATACACATATGTCTGTCCAAATAGCTTGAAAAGTAGATTTTTCATCATAGGTGCCCTTTAATACACACAGGAATACGCAAATGTCTTTACATATGAAAAAGAATTAAACCATTAAAATATTACAAAAAGATTATTTTCTAGTCTACATAAATATAAAAACCACTGCCTTCATGCCTTCTTCATCTCGGGGGGGCTTTTTCAGGTTATTTATAACAATTTGCTGTTGTATAATGTTATTATGATTATCAGTTTCATTTATTTTATCCATATTTATATTTGTTTTATTAAAAACAAGCTTGGATCGGCCCACCTGTTAGGTTTTAGACCAAATGGGGCAAAGCATGTGTATTTGGATATAACTCAGTGTTTTGACCACGCTTCGTTATTATTGTTTATTCATTCGTTTGCTGGAGATTAGAACTGAATTTAGAAATAGTTTTGAAACAGGTCTGTGTGCTTAACAAAGAGAATTAATTATGTATAGGCTAATGGATATCTGTGCGCACATTACGTTTCCTTATCCATGAGAGTGAAAGTAGAGAATGAGGAGGCTCATTGTCCTGCTGCAGATGCTCTGTTCAACTGTTTTCTTACTAGTGAAGTGCTCAGTTTTTCAACTTACAAAGTCTGTCATGTAAATAGCAAATACGCTATGGTGTGATGCAACTGACTCTTAAAGAGAATGGGAAATGAGACTCTGACTGGTTTATTTTCAAAACACACCTATAACTCATTAAGAGAATAAGCTCAACCCTGTTAGACCATGCGCCGCGACGCAAAGGGGATTTTTCTGTCCTTAAAATAGCAAAAGTGGATTCTGACACACCCTTAATGCTTTTGCTCTGCGCTTTGGACTTTGTGCATGGATCGTCAAAATAGAGCCCTCAGTCTAATACATACAGAAGATAAGTGTACCAGGTCTATGGCATATTGCCAGGCTGTATCTGATATTTCGATTAAGACAATACTCCGATTAAAAGTCTACCATGTAAACTTTTGATGATTTTTTTTATTTTTATTTAATCAAATTAAGATAATCGAACTAAACAGAAATGTAATTTAGACATGTGGAGTAAGCTGATTCACTTGCATGAATGAAATATTCCTGAATGAAAGTAAAAGTGCCAAACTGCAATTAAAGTCAGCAAATTAAAAATGAAACACCCAAAATTACGTGAAACTCCGGAGGAAACGTGGATAGCCTGGTGACGCAATGACGTTAATGGAATGATGTGCTATAACATGTAAACCAGGATCTTGAAGGAAACATTCAAAAAGCAACTCATGTAAACACTTTAATTATATTATTGTCTATATTAGATTAAGGCAAATAATTTGATCACTGATGTTCATGTAAATGTAGTCAATGATTGTTTTTATAGCATTCTTCACATTATCTTTCTTTGTGTTCAACATAAGAAACTCAAACATTTTTGGGTGAACTATCCCTTTAAGAATGACTTTTCTATCCACACAAAGTGAAAGCTTTAAAAAAAAAATTTAATCAAGTCATCTTCATATCTCTAGCACTTTATTAAACATTATATTTGTCATTAACTGGTAAAATATGAATAGCAGATACAATAATGAAAGTCACCTATGGCCAAATGGATTCTGTTGGTTTTAATCTGAATTTACTTCATTTAAAAAAGAAAAAACTGATTTAGTGAATTTACCTGATTGTTTAAAAGAAGTTCCTTAGGGTCATGGAAAATTCCGAAACTTTAAATTTTAAAATGATAAAAATTTAAAAAAACATTTCTTATCTGAATTATAAAAAAAATGTGTTTATTGAAATGTTTTTTTTCTCAAAATGTAGTTTACTAAAGCACCTCAAGATCTAAATCATTACTTTGAGAATAGTTCATAAAAATAAATATTGACACAAATTAGGGCTTTTCAACAATGTTATAGCGACATAAAAATGAATTCTGTAGTTCTGTAGTGTTTGTTGATAACATATTTATAAGTTTTTCAAATACCCTTTTTATATTCTTTTCATATAAGTGTGTAGCATAAAAATCTTTGTTGTAGTAGTGAAAAAAAGGCTTTTATGTAATTTGTAATTTATGTAAAATGTAATTTTAGGCAATTAAGTTGTAGATGTAATTTGCTAATGATACATATAGGTTGCAGGGTCAAATAAAATACTATAAAAACTATTTAGTTTAGTATTTTACATAGAAATACTTCACTTTTTTCAAAATGGACTCATTTTACAAGTCGAACTGTTGAGTTTTACTTTTTTTTTTATCTCTGGGTCTGACAGGAGCACTTTTAGCTTAGCATAAATCATTGAATTGGATTGGACCAATAGCATCTATAGTAAATTTCAGATTCCGGGCCAAGAGACTCTTTCAAGAAGAATTTTTTGAGAACATGTTGCTTGTTCATCTCAAGAAGTCCACATGAATCTACAAGAGTCTCTTATGCACTATTGACACGGGGCGTCAGCTGCAACGCTTCCCATTCACTTTGAATTGGTGACATCAGGCGTTGTCGAACTGCATTGTGGATCCGGATGACGAAAGCTTCAGCCAATCAGATCACTGTATGCAAATACACCAGCTCAGACAGTGGCCTGTTGCTGACTAATTGTTTGGCTGACGCTGCCATGACGACCGCATCAGCCCCAACTTCAGACACGCCCTCTGTCAAGCGTTGACGCTGAAGCCCCGTGTAAATGGGGCGTTAGGACGTACTCGCACTATGTAGTTGCCTTGAGCCATGCAGAGGAACGCTTGTCTTCCATCCCCATTATATTGTTTTATATTATTTTTAGTCGTTTAGGATGTCACTCACTCACACTACAAGTGAACCGCGCTCCGGCACACCTCTTCCAGCCAGACCAGGACCAGCCATATGAACCACGTCTGAGCCCGATTCAGAACGCTCTCACTTCTCAAACGAACCGGGAAATAGCATAGTGTGATTGCACCCTGGGAATCTACAAGAGTCTAATTTGGACAGAGTTGTCCTGTTTATTTGGAGGGGGCAGTGTTAAGGTGGAGTCAGAAAGCATGTATCTGTAAATGAGGTAGATGGGTGAAAGAACCTGTCCAGCCACTGACTAGACAAGTTTCACCTGCCTAAATCTAATCAACAAAAATAGTTTCTTCGGCCTGAATGGATCCACAAAGACAAAGGCACAGTCCTTGACAGACATCCTGCCCGTAGCATTACTTTGGGATCTGCCAATGGTCAGGAAGGCAAAAGGTTTTATGTCTTTCAACCCTGGACTGCTAGAGTTGTGTCACTGTTCATTTGAAGCTTGATTATATAATATAATTTATATTTCCACACATCTCATTTAAAAACGTCAAACATTTTCTATTTAAAGCTGGACACTTCTGTAGTTACATATAGAAAATAGCAACTTTTCATCTTCTATCAGTTTTAGTACATGATGTAACTACAGAGAGATGCTAATGGTCTAATCCAATTCAGTGATTTATGCTAAGCTAAGCTAAAAGTGCTCCCACCAGACCCGGAGATCGACTGAATGGATTAAAAAATGATCAAACTCGACTGTATACTCATTTGATTGGAAAATAAACCTATTACCCATCAAGTCCTAAATATTTAGATTTTTTTAAAGCTAAAATGTAACATATTGTGTATGTGATTTCAACCCTTCGTTTCTGTTTGAATTAGAGCAAATCTGACCTATATTGGATCATTTCACAAGTTACCTAGAGTTAAATAGTTGAGTTTTTCCTTTTTTTTTTTATCCATTTAGCCGATCTCCGGGTCTGGTGGGAGCACTTTTAGCTTAGCTTAGCATAAATCGTTGAATTGGATTAGACCGTTAGCATCTTCTATTTAAAGCTTGACTCTTTTTACATATATAAAAATAATATAAAATAGCAAATTTTCAACTTCTGTCAGTTTTAGTGCATGACCTAGACAGAAGTGCTAATGGTTTAAACTGATTCAAAGATTTATGCTAAGCTAAGCTAAAAGAGCTCCCGACAGAACTGGAGATCAGCTGAATGTTTTCAAAAATGATAACAACCTCAACTGTTAACCCCTTTGATTGTAAAATAAGCCTATTTCCAACAGAATGGGGCCTTAAATATTTAGATTCTTTAGCTAAAATCTAGCATATTGTGTTTGTAATTTTCCTTCTTTCATTTCTGTTTGATTTTGAGCATAACTGGCCTAAATAGGCTCATTTTACAAGTCACCTAGTTTAACAGTTCAGTTTTTCCTTTTTTTTTTAATCCTTTTAGCCGATCTTCATATATGGCTGGAACACTTTTAGCTTAGCTTAAATCATTGAATTGGATTAGACCACGAGCATCTCACTTAAATTCTATTTAAAGCTTGACTCTTCATTTAATATAAAATAGCAACTTTTCACCTTCCATCAGTTTTAGTACAATGACATAACTACAGAGAAAGATGATAATGGTCTGATCATATTCAATTATTTATTCTAAGCTAACCTAAAAGAGCTCCCACCAGACACGAAGATCGACTGAATGGATTTAAAAAATGATAAAACTCGACTGTAAACTTCTTTGATTGTAAAATTAGCCTATTTCCAAAAATGGGTATTCGAGTCTTAAATATTTTGATTCTTGAGCTAAAATGACGCATATTGTGTTTGTAATTTTTTGTCCTTCATTTCTCTGTTTGATATAGAGCAGAGGTCACCAATCTTGTTCCTGGAGGTCCGGTGCCCTGCAGGGTTTACTTTAAACTTACCTCAACACACTTGTTTCAGTGTTTCAAGTATACCTAGTAAGGCCTTGATTAGCTTGTTTAGGTGTGTTTGATTAGGTTTGGAGCTAAAATTTGCAGGTCACCAGACCTTCAGGAACGAGATTGGTCATCCCTGATATAGAGCATATCTGGCCTAAATAGATTTATTTTACAAGTCACCTAGAGTTAAACAGTGGGAGCTGTTGGGAGCTAGTGGGAGCACTTTTAGCTTAGCTCAGCTTAGCATAAATCATTGAATCGGATTAGACTATTAGCATCTCTTGCTGTAGTTAGGTCATGTACTAAAACTGATGAAAGGTGAAAAGTTACTATTTTACATTATTTTTTTATATTTAACTACAGAAGAGTCAAACTTTAAATAGAATTTGAGGAAGCAATAATCCAATTCAATGATTTATGCTAAGCTAAAAATGCTATTTAGCATCTCACTCAAATTCTATTTAAAGCTTGACTCTTCTGTAGTTAAATAAAAAGTAAAATAGCAACTTCTCATCGTCGGTCAGTTTTAGTACAATGATGTAACTACCGAGTGTGATGCTAATGGTCTAATCAGATTCAATGATTTATGCTTAGCTAAGCTAAAAGGGCTCCCACCAGACCTGGAAATCAGCTAAATTGATTCAAAAAGGATAAAACTCAACTATTGACTTATTTGACTTGTAAAATGAGCCCCAAAAAATAGGGTATTCCAGTCTTAAATATTTGAAAGCTAAAATGTAGCTTATTGTTTATGTAATTCTCTTCATTTCTGTGTTTGATTTAGAGCATATCCGGCCTGAGGCTCACAGACACCTTCCTGAAAAGAACGTATGAATATGACGACATTGCCCAGGTCTGTGTGGTGTGTCCTTACACCAGTCCAGAAAGCTGAACACAATCCCTGTCATATTTTACACTGTCTGTTTCAATGGACCAAACCCCCGTCAGTCCTGCACCTATTAATAGAACACCATCTGCTCTTTACCTTAAGCTTGATGTTTTAAAATGATCATTTTTAAAGCCCTTAATGCTTTTAACTGTCTATCAATGTAAATAAAAGTAAAATAAACGAAAGATGTTTAAGCATTTGATTTTAAAGTGGGTTTGGAGATATTTCTGGCGAGTAAAACAAAATAACATAATATTTCAGGACAACCAAAGACTTCAAGACACATTTATTAACATTGTTCTTTTTTTGTTGTTGTTGTTGTTGTTGTTGTTGTTGACAAAAACATTATACTGCTCTGTTTTATTAGCATATAACATAAGCTTCAGTCACTCACCTGACTGCAAATATCAGATTATGGAGCATGCAAATAAAAATGCAAACAGTAAGATTATGAATATACTTATTATATCAATGGATTGTTGCCTTGAGCAATGAATTAAATGACTAAACGAACAGGACGGGTGAAGCAGCCGAAAAGGTGATTATCACACAAATGTCTCTTGTTCCTAAAACGAACAGAATATGTGGTAATAATAATCAGAGAATGTGTTAAATAGATATTTATCTAAAAATCTTAACAATTCCATCAACATTTAATCGCCTTCATGTTTGTATATCATTTTGAAGGTGAATATTTCATTGATAGTTCAGCCAAAAATGAAAATTCAGTTATCTACTCATCCACCAGTTGTTCCAGACTTGAAATTTGAGGGTTTTTTGTTAAACACAAAAGAACACATTTTGAAGAATGTTGAATTTTGATATAATTTTTCCATACTATGAAAACTAATGCCTTCTAGATTCCAGCATTCCTCAAAATATCTTACAGAAAAAAGACACATTAAGGTTTGGAACCACTTAAGGGCGAGTAAATCGTATGCGAACGCTGTGTGAATTTACATTTTTGGGTGAACTGTCCCATTAACCATGGTCCCACATCTGATTAATAGGCACAAACGGATGACCAGTCATTCGTTTAGTAAAATAAATGCAACTCTGATGTTGTTACCAGCTACATTCAAAAAGAGAGGACTGAAATATTACCTACAGAGACGAAGACAAAGAAACCTCACTCGGGTATTAAGGTAATGTTCTCTGTGTATAAGGTGATTTTAAATGTGTGTTGTTGTTTGATTTTTCCTCTTTCCTCCTGATCCTCCATATAAAGTGCCATGGCCTCCGTCTTGCCTTCGACTCAATAGAAGTATGAACTTAACGATTGCACTCACGACTCTTCTCCAACTGCACTCCTTCACTTCTTGATCCTGTAACAGAAAATGGAGAGTTTACTGCAGAGGAAAATATCTACAAATAACAGAAAGAAAATTGGGAAGTTTAAACCCAGGTTAAAAAGGATATTATTTTGCTTTTTTTGTGGAATTTGATGATTATTTGACGTGTTTTGTGGTACTTATAAAGTGAAATGGCCATTGGGTGGCACTAAAAAAAAGTTTCCTGACTTGCTCCTGCAAAATACCTCAAAGTGGCTCAATAATATTTAGATCGGGTAACTGTGCAGGCCATGGGAGATGTTTAACTTCACTTTCATGTTCATCAAATCACTGTCACCAGTCTTGGTGTTTTGGCAAAGACTGTAGAGCAGGAGTTTTTTTTTCTCCAAACATTTTTTGAAGGCCCAAACTGATTGTCAGTTAAAATGCTTATTTTAAAGCTTTTTTATTAGCAAAACATTTAAAGCTTCTGAATACTTTACATCAGTTATTCTTTACAACTGCAGAGTATTTGGGCCTTTTCTTCAGTTAAAGAACCTAGACAGAACCTGACAGGACGACAGAAGATGGCAAAAAAAAAAAAAAAAACTGCTGCTTCTTTGAATTAGACTGACTTCTATTCTTCTATCGATTTATACCCTGCTGAAAAATCCAGCTTAAATCAGCCTAGGCTGGTTGGCTGGTTTTAGCTGATCGACCAGGCTGGTTTTAGAGGGGTTTTGGCCATTTCCAGGCTGGTTTTCAGCCATTTCCAGCCTGGTCTTAGCTGGTCAGGCTGGAAAATGACCAGCCAAATCCAACTAAAACCAGCTTGACCAGCCTGGTTTAAGCTGGATAAAGCTGGTTTTGGCTGGACTCCCAGCTTGGCTAGGCTGGTCAAGCTGGTTTTAGCTGGTCATCTCCCAGCCTGACCAGCTAAGACCAGGCTGGAAATGGCTGAAAACCAGCCTGGAAGTGGCCAAAACCCCTCTAAAACCAGCCAACCAGCCTAGGCTGGTTTAAGCTGGATTTTTCAGCAGGGTATCCATACAAATAAACAACCTAACCCTAAATGTAAAATACAGTAAGAACACTCTAAATCTGTTGAAACGCATCGATCTGAAGATGGTTGGATTTGTTGCTGGACATTATTGGAACAACACAGAGTCTCGCTAGATCCTCCTGTACGGGTGGGTGTCTGTTATAAAACATTTGCAAGGCATTCATTTGGACAACTATGAGGAGGGCCTGGGGTGTCTATAGAGGAGACCTATGGTCACGAACCGGTCAGTTTCGGGTTGAGGGCAGCGTGGTCATCTTTTACCTAGATCGCCAATTCAGCTTGCTCCAGCCCTGACTATGAGGATATTTTAAAGTGTTCACACAAAGAGAGCGCAAATAGTTTGTGAATCAACGGACTTGATTCATACAGTACGAGTCGCAGATGTGAGGCACGCGCGAGCTGGTTATTATAACTCTGATCGTCGTTATTCTTTACATTTGAGTGACTGTTTGCTTTATACAATGAAGAGCGTAGTCCTAGTTGATGCGCAGTGGCTGGAAAGTTAAGCCACAGTTATGTCTGTAAATAACAGTGAGGCTGTTTTTCCAAAGTTCGATTTAGCCTGTTTAATCACAGATTGGAAATGCCATTACTATCATTTCATCATGACATATTTAGCATGAAATCAAATAATTAAGGTATAATATTTAAGTTAATTTCAAGCTATCTCGCAGCCCACCTGCAGGATCGCTGAGGCCCACTGGTTGAGAATCCCCACTATAGAGTGCACAAGATATGCCGCTCGTATTGTTTTGAATGGAGACAAGTGTAAAGGTCATATGGCAAATGAAGCCACACCTACTAGTACAGTAGACTGAAAAATCTCTGGGGGAGCGGCTCGGACCAGACGTGAGTTTCTGCAGATTTTGTGTGATTGGAACATTTAGAAATAAAACTAGAGACAGTAGCTGTTTTTATTGGTGCTTTTTAATATGAAATCTAATAGCTTGGCAAGCAATTTTGTACAATTGGATGTTTCCCCATTCAGACAGAATGCCCGAGCATACTGCCCGACAGGCATTTCAAAGATGGCCACAGAGTGAAATGACTTGCCTTAAAGCACGGGTTTTCAAACTCAACACAAGAGCCTTCATCGTCTTCCTGTGAATGAGCAACAGAGATTTCACACTTAAGCCTCCTTTCCACTGCAAACGACAAGCGACAGACTGGAAGTCATTCATTTACAATGGAGAGCTGTCCGGGAGCTGCGTTGAGTTCCGATCAGCTTCGTATGCGGAAAATTCGGATCCGAATTGAGCTGCGGATCAGTTGAAATATTTGAACTCCTGCAACTATACCATATGCGACCTGCCGACCGGATGTGATGTATTCCAGTGTTGTCCAAGCAGATCCGTGCGCGCGAGATGAGAAATAGGAGTTTATTTGGTGTGTGCAGTGGAAAGGCGGCTTTAGCGGCCATTTGCGTTGAACACGCATTGAATACAATGTATTGAGATTCGGGCCATTAAAAACAGCTGATCCACCGAGTCTTTCAGCACTCTCTCTGAAAACACTCGATAGATCTCGGCTGGCGGATCAACATTCACCACATGATAGCTCTCATCGGCACCATTGTTTGTAAGTTTAGGTTGGGTTTGCAAACATGTGTACTTTTCATTGTTTCATCTTCCTTAAACAAAAATGCTGTTTGCATTTACCGCAGTCACAGAAGCTCCCCGTCATCTCAACTAGGTGCAGCTGGAAAGTGTGAGCGAGTTGCCTCGTGTGTGCGTCCCTCCATTGAAAATAACGAACTTGCCTTAGTTATAGCTAGGGCCAGACGAAATGTGTGGACGTTTTTTGCTATTTCTGATGAGAATTTTGGTAAAAATCTGCACATTTCTGTGGAATTATTTTAGGAGTATCATAACTAAAACCTTAATATATGAAATAAAAAAATATATATATTTAACTTTTATTTAATGTATAAAATGCTAATCCAATAGATTCACTTTACTTGGTAAACAAAGCAAGTCTCTTATATAAAATCTCTACTAAAAGACAGAAAATATTACTGTACTAACTGTATTGTACATAAATCAGTTAAACATTTTTATTAGTCAATAATATTACTGTAATTTAAAAACGGAATAAATATAGATTTACACACATTTACTCAAGTAAATAAACAGAATTAATGATGGGCTAAAAATCTGCGGAAAATCTGCACATGCAGATTCCGTGTGGGCCTAGTTATAGCCTCAGTCAAAGTTAATCCAGTCTGCGTGTTTATTAGTCTTAGTGTACAAGCTTGGAACTTTAAACTAGCACACAGTAGGCATAACGTTAAGTTGCCGCAGTTTTGTTCTGTGAAGAAACACTAAGTAAAGAAGCCTTTATGATTAATTAACGGTGACGAATTTAAGCGCAGTTAATAGTGAAACCGGTTAATCATTATATCCCTATACAGAAGACACATGCATCGTTACATAGCGGCTGTAAAAATATACAAAGCCACAAATGATTTTTTAACTACCACTCTGACATATTCTGGCACATTAGGAATGTTAATTCCTCAACAGTAGTTTCTGCTTGGTCTGGTCCTCTTACTCACATTGCTTCTTTCTGTCTGCCTGTCTGTTGCCATACACAAAGCGGGGAGATCTGTTAAGTTGGGCGGGAAATCGAAACTAATTTTCATTTGAAGCAACACACCCCTAAAACAAAGACCTGTGTACACATCCCCAAAATGACACTTTTTAACACAATAAAAAAATCTGAATTGTGTTCTGAACTGAACCTAAACTGGCACACTCAGAAGAACCATGATATTAAGGCCCAATCCCAATTCTACCCCTTACCCCTTCCCCTCGTTTTGCGCGTACACGCCAAGGGGTAGAGCTGTCCCAATTCTCTATAGCTTGAAGGCGTAGGGCTAAGGGGAAGGGGTGAATACCCCTTCCAACGAAGATTTTTCAGGAACACACCTGGAACCAAGGGGTACGAAAATTTCCCAGAATGCACCAGCCACAGTATTGCTGAACCCAGAAGTAAGGAGATCCATAAATTAGTATTTTTTTGTCATTATTACGAATTTTTACGAAAAACAAATACATGTTTTAATATTTTCATGACCACGTTCGTGTTTTACCGTCATGCTTTAAAAAA